TTAAAGAAGGAGGAAGTCATTATATGATTACATCTTTAATTTTGTTTTTCCCACACTGAAACTGACTAAATTTTATTTATTTCACTATTTAAATAAACATTTGAAAGAAAAATACATTTTTTTCAGTTAAGTGCTATATTAATTAATTGTCTCATATGTGAAAAATATCTGACAAAAACAATTTAAGGAAGAAAAGGTTTGTTTGGCTCACAGTTGCAGGGGGTACAGCCCGCCATGGCAGAGGAGGTGTAGCATTAGGAGCAGGAGGAGCTGGTCATGGGAAGTCCACCCAAGAAGCAGAGAATAATGAATGCTTGCCCCCAGGTCACTTTCCCCCTGTTTTTAGTCCAGAACTCCAGCCCATGGGGTGGTGTTACCAACATTTAGGGTGTGTGCTCACACCTCTAGTAACCAAAATTAGAAAACCCCTGCTAAACATGCTCATAGATTGTTTCCTTTGTGATTCTTAATCTTAGCAAACTGAAAAATTAAGATTAATCATCATAAAGCCAAATTGCTATTTTCATGAAAATTTGTGTTTTGAATAATTTCATTTGGGGGTATTTCATTTGGGAGTATGCTAGATGGAGGGGAGACACTGAGGTTGAAGTGAGGCAATAAAAATATTAACATTAGAAAGAACTGAAGTGTGTCATTATTGAAAACATCTGATCTGGGAAGAAACCCAGTCATTTTTCCAATGAATTTTGGTGCTTTTATTGAAGAATTACAAACTCTAGCATTTTCAAATAATGAAGCAAAAGCATCAATGTATTAGTAATTGATAGTATGAAACCATTGATTTATTATCAGTATTGAACCTCTTACCTCACCTTAAAAACAAATATTTTTTGGTCAGCCCACCTTATTGTTATCTTGTTTAGGGTATGATTTTTTTTCTTTGTTAAAGGTTGACTAAAAAACAAAACAAAAGAAAACAAAAAAATCTCTGCACTTGAAGTATTTAAATGTCTCAGGGTGGTGATCAAGAACATCCTTAGAGGCGAGTAGCCATTGTGGGGATGAAGTCAGAGGTGAGCCCTGAGAAAGCTTTGCTGAGGAAGCATTGGAGCAAGCTGGGAACAGGAGTTTGCAACTGTTGTCAGACTTCATATGAAGTTGTCTTAGAAAGCAGGAATTTAGTTTATTTCATTGTAGGATGGCTTATTTAGAAAGTCTAAGAAAGAGCTCTCTTGTTGTTAAATATGTTTTAAGATGTCCCAAGCATAATGTTTATTTTTTATAATTGATCTACAATTACATATGCTAACTGCTGCTGTGTAATGTTCTGATCTATGTTCACAGTGTAGAAAGTTCTAATTGGGGTAAGCATATCTATTTCCTTGACTATTTATCATGTCATCCAAGATATTGTTCCTTACAACTTTTTAAAAATACAACATTGTTATAAACGGTTTTATAAATGTGTGACAGATCACTGGGACTTATTTTTCCTAGAGTTTCCGCTTAAAGCAATTTTCTTTGTTTTCTAGATTCCTCTTGCTCTTGGAACCAGTTTGCTTGTTCTGCACAAAAATGTATTTCTAAGCATTGGATTTGTGATGGAGAAGATGATTGTGGGGACGGGTTAGATGAAGGTGACAGTATTTGTGGTGAGCAGCTTACTTTGTGTTCTCAAGCAATTCTTCCTAGGGAATTTTAGTCTCTTTCTGTCTGTGTCTGTCTCTGTCTGTCTCTCTCTGTCTCTCTGTCTCTCTCTGTCTCTGTCTGTCTGTCTGTCTGTCTCTCTCTCTATATATATATATGTATATATATATGCTTGATCATTTTGGAGCACACATAAACCCTCTCTGATGTAATAAGCATCATTAAAATTATATTTGTATGCAATATTTTATTATTTTTATGCTGATCTATTTTATTGTTTTTAAAGTAGCATCCTTAATTTAGAAATATTTTTAGTCATGTGCATATATGTGTGTCTTTGTGTGGGTCTGTAGACACGCATGAGTACGGGTAACCCACAGAGCCAGATTTCCTGGAACTAGCATTACAAGGAGTTGTAAGACACCCCATGTGGGTCCTGGGGACTGAACTGGAGTCTTCTGTAAGAGAAGTTTACATCTTCAGCACTGAGCCACTTTTTTCTAGCCCTTATTTTATTATTTTTTTTAAAGTACACATATTCACGAGGTAGAGTTTTGTCAAAGTGTTCCCCAATAAATATGTTAGTCCATCTTATTTTTAGTTTTCAACTTCTCTAGAGAAATCCCAGTGATTTTCACGGTTAGCTTGACTGATTTTTGCGGGGATGACTCATGAGCACATGATTGTGTTGCTTCCCAAGTTAGTATACAAATTTACACCACTACAAACCATCTCCCATGGTTTTTGTGAGCACTTTGTAGTAAAACATTAGGACTGAGTTGTTTTAGAAAGGAAATAATGTTAGCAAGTTTATACAATTTTCAATGTACTTTAAAATTCAATATTTATATTATTGGAGATATCTGAGCTGAAAGTCTGTTTCCCTGTTTTATTTTTTATTTGCAAAGCCAGTGTGCTTTGTGTAATAATCACAAATATATATTACACAGTTCATATAGAATTATTTCCTGAATTTCTCAAGGGTTAAATAAAGGAAAACAGCTAAACCCCATAAATGTCTGATTGTTGTTCAAGCATTCTACTTATTTGTTTCCAAGTCTGTCTGCCTACCTACGTGACCTTTTAAATACATAGTGTTTATATTTATAGTTGTATATCTTTCACCATTACAGTGGGCTTCTTGGCATCTCTTAATTAATATGAAAATTACCACTATTTCAGAAGAAGGAAAACTCGAGTAATAAGTTAAGATGCCTTCATAGAGCTGAGTGTGCTTCACAGTTTCAGAGGTGTGGTCAGCTATTTAGTTTATTACCACAAAGACAGAGGGAGTGTTTTGTAATACTCAACCTAAATGGAATTTGGCTGTAGATAACATAAAATTGGTGATATTTCCTGAAATACCAGTAATTTATTTTCTTGTATTTAAGCCAGTCCAAATATCCTTTCTCTTTATGGAGCTGGAACAAAGTAGTTTTAGAAAAGATAAGTATAGGAAAGATCATTATAAAATGCGTTGAACACACAGTAATTGTGATTAATTAGATGACTTACTGGCTCCTTCCTTTGTTCCTCTTTGTTGTAAATCTTGTCAGTTTTAACAAAAAGACTTTTTTGGGATGAGGATGCTTCCTGTGTATAAAACCACCTGCTTTTGACCTTTTCTTTAACCCACTACTAAATGGGTCCACTGATAACTGCTTTCTGAGGGACACAGTGTGATAGAAAGGGCAAACAGCCCTAAAGTAAGAGTTCCCTGCATTTATGTCTTATTTTCAAGCTGTGTGAAATTTAACTTTATTGCTAATTTCTTGACTTCTTGACTATTTTGGGGCTATAGAAGATTATCTACTTAATTATTACAGTTATCTAACAAAGCCAATGTACACTATGTCCCTGAGCTTATCCTCGTTGTTTAGCTCTCTGTTTCTTTCCTTTTTGTCCAAGTGATGTTGTATCCTCTCTGTTTCTCTCTCTGTCTCTCTCTCTCTCTCTGTCTGCCTGTCTCTGTCTCTGCCTGTCTCTGTCTCTCTGTCTCTCTGTCTCTCTGTCTCTCTCTCTCTCTCTCACACACACACACACACACACACACACATACACACTGTTGTGCAGAGAATGGATCCCCAAGAATTGCCACGGAGTCCAGAGAGCATGTAAGAACAAAGAGTCTTTACTCCAGCTTAAGCTCAGACTCTCAGACCAAACTAGGCAGGAGGAGGGAGCTTTTCATAGGTTTCAGACAAAGGGAGGAGGGGAATGACAGATTTATATTTTGATTGGTCCAAAGAGTCCTTGCCACCAACATACTTTTGAATTGATTGGTTACAGTCTTGGAGGCCTCTCATTGGTGGGTGTTACCCTCAGGGCTGTGGAATGTGCTGACTGTCATCTTCAGGGCTAGAGGACCCAGGTAATCCTTATAAGGCCTCAAACCTGCCTGGGCCCCCTGAACATGCCCGGGCTTGCCTAGTCTAGGACCATGAGACATCACAAAATGGAGGAATCAGTCAAAATGGAGACGGTGCAGTTTGTCCCTCTGGTTCCCTCAAGCCAAGTGATTTACAGGAGCAAAAAAGAGCAGTTAGTCCTAAATAGGGGCAGGGGTCTAGGAAGTCCAGGGGAGGGGGCCAAGGAAGAGGGTTCCATGACACACACACACATACACAAAACCAGTCTTGAAAATGCTTTTAAATAAAGAAGATAGAGAACAATATTTATTTTCATTCAGCCAATGGGTCTATTAATTTATTCACAGGCTATATTTCCTATTCTACCAATATGATAACAAATAATACATCTTTAGGCCAAATTTAAGTCAACAAACTGAATTTAGTATTTTATGTTAGGAAAGCAACCTTGCAAATAATCCCTCTCTGTGGTTTCTAACCATTTACAGTATAAAGTCCTGCTCAGATGTGTTAAAATGTAGATTGTTGAGTCCTTCCTCCAAATGTTCTGAGGCATGTTGTTTTTTACAAGTGCATTGCACTTATGAGAAAGGACATTGAGGATGTCAGCATTCATAAGCTGGACTAAATTCATGCTTTAGTCCTTCATCTTCTTTTAAGATTTATTATTTTATTCATATGTACATGTGTATCTGTCACATGAGTGCAGTTTTCTGCAAGAGCGAGGAACGGGTGTTGGATACTCTAAAGTCGTAGTTACAGGTTATTTTTACTCGCCTGATGTGGCAGCTAGGAAGCAAACCAGAATCCTCTGGAAGAGCAATACGTGTTCTTAACTGCTGAGCTGTCCCCAGCCTCAATCTCCATCTTTTGAGACACAAGAAAATAATCAGTTTACCTAAAGTTACACAGCTAATTCTTGATGACAGAAGTAGCACCAGAATTTCAGTATTCAAAATATTAAAAACGATAGTGGGTTTGACCAATCACTCTGGCTGTCTGAAAACAGGCACAAATGGCCTAGGACAGGGTTTCAGTCAGGTTTTCTCTCCTCAGAGATGCTTTTCCCTAAAGAAGACGGTGTGTTTCCAGATGGCACTGGCAGCCATGAAATGAAGCCATGAGTTTTTCTTTGGCTCATTTTCTTCCCAATTGACTTCAGTGTTTTGGCATGTTCTTAGCGCAGAATCTGTTGAACACTATCAAGGGAGCCAGCAAATTAGCTGCAAAGAACCTTATGCCATTTTATAGCCAGAGATGACTTCATAATTACCTAGTCATACTCCTTATTCTAATGATAGGGAAATGCAGCCATGAGTGTTCTCCAAGGTCAGGCAGAATCAGATCTTGTCATTGACACATCAGTGTTCTTCCTGTAGTTCCACCTGGGGAAAGTGGGATATTATAAATGGTAACGAGCGCTACCTTGATCAAAGTCCCCTTGGTAGAAATAATACAGTTTTAAAAGCTCAGGCTAAGTAATGATAATGAAGTTAAAACTGTGAATTGTGGGTTCAATATTAAAAATGACATTGTGTTCTTATAACATGCTTGAAATTATGGGGAACTATTATAAAAATAATTTCCATTGGAAGAGAATAATCATAAAAGCTATGAAAGGTATAACCAGAGGCAAATTTCATTTTTAAATAAAAGCAACATTTATTTTATAGATTATTTTCTGACTTCGTCTAGCAATGGATACCCTATTAAATCTTTTTCTACTAAAGTACTGCTATTAAATGAAATGGGCAGTTCTGAATTACTGGGACATGTCAATATTCACATAACATTTTATCATTGTCACCCAAGTATATATCAGGGACAGTCATGTTTGACTGGGATTAGACATCTCAGGGATTTTACTATGGTAATCCTCTGCTGTCTGTTTTGAGAGTGGTTCATCAAGAAGTATTGTCTACCCAGAGGTTTATATGACTAAAAGAGAAAGGATAGTAATCCTTCAATTAAAGCACATTGGTGCTGGTTTGAAGTGATTAGAAGCAAGTATTTCTATTAGTCAAGCTTCTCAAACTTTTTCATGGACACTTTTCTTTGTGCATTTCTGGGGAATGAACCCAGGGACGTGCCAGTGTTAAGCAAGCAATGATCGCTGCACTATACCCCTTTCTAGGGATACTAAGGTTTTTGAAAAATAATTTTAACAGTATATGTTTTGTAGGTATTTTGGACTTTTTTGATTCTAAGAAAGTGAAATTTGAAAAATTAGATTGGGGATCTTGCTGATTATTCCCTTAATAAGCATTTTATATACACAAATAAACAAAGCAAGCTTTGAGGCTACATGCCGTAGAAGCAGCCAGGGAGACAATGAGAGAGCATCATAGATGGGGGGGTCAGCCTGTGCTCATACTAGGAGCAAAAGAAGCCAGCTGTGGCCATGTGAATTTGCAATTCTTGTCAACAATCACTGAAAGAGTGATCAGACACCCCAGAGAGACAACAAGCCCCAGGAGGAGGGCAGCTTCTGCAAGTGGAAAAGCAAAGAGGTACTGATTTATTCTTTCCCTCAACGTAAGATAGGGCAGAACAATGACATTAGCTGCTAGGAGAAAGTATTCATTAATCAGAAGGAAAAGTTGGGGACTTCTCAGTTCAGCATGTGGAACTTCCTACAGCTGTGATTTCTGCCAGTTTTCAATTTGATGAAGCTAACGTTGAGACTAAGAATAGTTCTCTGGGATGGAATTTCTGCAAGGACGAAATGAGTTATGAGAAGTAGTTCACACATTAAGCAATAAAGCATCGTCATCCTTCTCATTCCATTGTTCTTAACTGCATGGGTTGAGTGCCTTCAGAGTGGCACTTAGGAACCCCGGGACCTTTCTGTGCTTTGCTATATTTTCAAGGAGAAGAGGCATCATTTTATACCTTGCAGCTTAAACAATATAACATTTGTGGCAAATAAAGAATGTATCCTTAAACAAAGCTATGTCGATACTTAGGAAAACATGAGATGATGCTGAATGGCAACCTTCTCTTCCTGGTATGCAAGACTCTTCTGCCCCTTCCACAGGAGCTGTGAATAGGAGCCAACTTCTAGTCGAGGCACAGTGGTCTTAATACAATTTTTCTTTTGGGTTTTAGGTGCTGTCACCTGTGCTGCTGACATGTTCAGCTGCCAGGGTTCCCATGCCTGTGTGCCACTGCACTGGCTTTGTGACGGTGAGAGGGACTGTCCTGATGGGAGCGATGAGCTCTCCACAGCGGGCTGCGGTATGGACATTGGCTGGGCCTGTGTGTCAAAGAAAACAGTATGCTGGGGTGTTTGTTTTCCTCAAATATTGCATTTTCCACTATTTTCCCCATCCCTGGCCCTCAAGGGTCCAGGTGGGATGTTGGTATCATAGCAGTTGAGCAAGCCTTGACACTTCCAGCATATTTCAGATGTGTTCAAAGGCAGAACCCCTTTTAAAAAATATTTTAGTGACTGAAAATTTATTATTTAACCTCTGAGATAGTAAAACTGCATTATATACACAAGGGTGGTAGTAGACTGGTATTTTCTTATTAAACTCCCCTCCCTTAAAAGGTTTTAGGTTGCCTATTATAGATACTCTATAAATGGTTGCTATCAGCTTAGAAAACTATTGACCAGGAGGTCAGTAAACACCTATTAGTTCCAGAGATAGGGTATTAACCCTTAGGTCAGGTAAAAGGAGTATGGATAGAGCTGAATGGAACTGAGGGATCAGAAGAACACCTTTGAGGTCAGACAATTTACTCAGTTTCTGACTCGAGGTCATTTCAGGGAATTACTCAGCAGTAAAAATTTAGATAAACACCTTTGCATGATCAGGAGGATGGGAGAAGTGAGCACGTGACTGCAGATCCTAAAACTAAGAGTGATAGCTGGAGTTGCCACTGAGGGCTACATAATCAAGGATTATGCATCAATTCAGAAATCCAGACGGTACTGCTCTGCTGTTGCTATTGTAGCAAGTTAGCACTCTGGGAGGCATATTAACACTTTCAAACCACATGGGTACTATAAAATATATTATGCTAAAATGTAGCAAATTGCACTCAAGTGACCTGAAAATGTTAAAGCCGAATAACTTACTGTTGCTCTGTGTTTTAAAGAATAATTTATGTATTAGGAATGGCATTGTTCACAGTTCAAAGTTACCAGGGTTATTAACAACTCTTGAATTTTACTTTGGTTATAATATGCAAATTTTAATGCTGTTTCTGTGTGACTTCTATATAATTGCTCAAAATAAATTTGTTTAAGTGCATTACTAGGCAACATACAAAAAAAATTAGACCCTTTCTGTTTTACCTGCCTGTGGCTCTATGTGAATAATTACCATAATTATGTATAGCAAAGTTGAAGCTACTTCATTAGGTGTGGGACAGCTGGAGGCAGGGAACTGAGACACTTAGAAAATAATTATAAACCTCAAGTGTTAAGTGACATGGCTAAAATATACTGGATCATCAGCGAGAAATATGTAAAAAGTCATGTGAGCACTTCTTGAAAACTGACCGTGTTGTGAGAGTCTTGAAAGACAAAGACAAGAGAGGCATGTTCTGTGGGGAAAGAGGTGTGTACTGTTTTGAGCGCCCATCGTATATCAAATAGTGCAAGAGGTGCTTTTTATTTACCTTATTAAATACCTTTGGCTTTGCAGCAAAGTGTTTTGGGGAATCTGCCAAACAAAATTAATATATAAATAGGAATTTTAAAAGTATGTAGGAATTTGTTGAATATCTAAGTTGAAGAAATATGTTCACACACCTTATGTTCCTATGAGAACATTGTTGGACAGATTTTATTGTCTTTATTACAGATAAAGAAACACATGCAGCAAGGAGGTGAATAATTTCCTCAAGCAAACACAAGAGACAGGCATCCCCGCAGATTTATTCTGCATGACATTTGACAATAGCATGTAGAAGATTCTTGGCATTTGCAATGTCTTGAACCTCAAGTTTTTCTATAGTGTTTGCCCTTTGATATTAAGAGAATATTATTGAAATGATTAGAAGGGCTCTTGCAAGGCTCCTGCAGTTCTGCCTGCTCTGTATCAAAGCCAACCTCCTCTGCATCAGTTTTATTGCAATTTGGGTCAGCCATTGCTTAGGCACTTGCTAGAACACTGCTTTACTTACTCTGTATCCCTAAACGATCAATATTCATAAGGTGGGTTGCATTATGGTGGGGCTCATCATCCCATTGATCTTCCTTTTGCATAAATTGCACCCCCTTATTGAGGTTGTGGGCATCCACAAGTTCTGTTTTCTTTTAAAATCCACAACATTCTTAGTCTTGGTGATCTTTTGCTTCCATCAAGAGCATTAACACTTGCCAGTTACTGCAGAGTCACCTCTGCTGGCCTTAGCATCAGCACCAGCAGAGAAACCAGCATCCATGGTATTCTTAGATTGACTGTTTTGAATACAGGACGATTTGAATGGATCTTTGAGAAAGCACACCTGAGCTGAAGTTTTAGGACCTCTCCAGAGTACTGTCAATTTTAGTAATACAAAAACATTAAATCATGTATGTACATATTGACAGTCTAATATATGCATGAGATCATTAGTTTATCTAATATATTGAACAAAAAGCATCTTTTTTTTTTTACAATTATCTATGAATTGTTATAGTTTCATACATGCTGTAAACTTTTAGTGTGGATGAAGATCAAATATGTATTTATGTAATTTATTTTGTGTGTGTGTGATTTCTTTCTTAGCTCCCAATAATACATGTGATGAAAATGCTTTCATGTGCCATAATAAAGTGTGCATTCCAAAGCAGTTCGTGTGTGACCATGATGATGACTGTGGAGACGGCTCAGATGAGTTTCTGCAGTGTGGTGAGTGTTGGTTAACATCTCATGGAGATTCTCAGTTCAGTCTGTAAAACGGACTCTGGGATACACAAGTAATAACAACAAAAACAACACAGGCATTTTATTAATGTCAGTAAGGGCCAGTGAACTCAGTGTTGCTAATCCAGCTACATGTGACTTCTTTAATTTTTACTGCAGTTATACATTCTTTCGCAAATCACTCCCATGTAGTATATTCATAACAATCAGCAGCTATACGGGAAAATGTCTTAAAAGGCCTTAAGTTTGAAGTGTTTTGAAGTAGTTCAAACATTGAAGATGACACATGACTGGCTTGTTCAATCTTTAATCCAAAACAAATGCTTGAGATAAAATATTAAAATTCAAATTATCAGAAAAATGGATACTTAATATTTTTCTTGACTTTTGACTTTGATGCATGCACTTGAAATTAAGTAAAATAGATTAAAATGAAGTAAAATAAATAAAAATGAGTAAAACACGTATTTTATAAGATGAAATGTACTGTTCTTTTCACAAAATATATCTGTACATTGCATCAGTTATATAACCATTATATGTACTGCTTCTAAATTTGAACATTCTGGACAAAACTAGACAAATATGAGAATCCACAGTAGAAGTTAAAATCTTCTGTGAATCTGGAGTCTTTATGAAATATTAAGTAATACATTAACATATGCATGAAATGTGCATGCAAAGGCTTCCTGTGCCCACACAGGAATCAGTGACATCCTCTTCTCTCAGGGACAGGGACTCAGTGCAATCCTCTGAGCTCCAAGGGCTGTGGGTTCATGACGTTCATGTGCCTTCCTTGTGACAAGGACACAGTGACTCCCACTCTCATTAATGTGCAATGCACACAGTGTCCTCTGTCCTCCTGTGTTGTATAGTCATTGCCATCTCTGTCCTCTGCAGTGTACACAGTGTTACCTCTTATTTCTGTCCTCCTGTACAGTGGACAGTGTCACCTCTGTCTTCCTGTGCAGTGTTCTTAGAGCCATTTCCCGATGTTCTTTACAGTGTATATATCTTTACTCTTTGATCAATGTCTCTTTGAAATCATTGTTTGTATGTTTGTATACTCATTTCATTTTTAAGGCATGCATTCAAGTTGATATTTTAGATGCTACATCATAATTTCAGGTGTAATTCTTGATCTGAGTTAATTCATCTCCTCTCTGGCAGACATTGGGTTTGGTTGAGATAGGGTTGATTGAGGCAGAAGAAATCAGTAACCAGAAAATACAAAATATGATACATGATAAACTGCTTTTACAAATTATAATAAAATTGCAATACATGGAATTAGAGCTGAGGAAATAATTCTTGGGGTAGACACAAAGGGTTCGTAGGAGGAGTGTTTGTTATTGGAACAAATCTAGAGATGTAAGAGCATAGTGTTTAATGTTATAGCTCTGGGAGTCAGGTAGCCCAGGTTCCTTCATCTGCTTTTATTAGAGGTGTGACCTTGAAAAAGTGCTTCTCACCTGTAAAATATGTGGAAAAATAACACTTCACCCCAGTGGCTGCTAAGATAAATACAGCATTTTTGTAAATTCTTTAAATGAGATGCAGCAATATATTAAAAGTTTATAAAGATGTGAGTCAATATTATCAAGGAACAACAATTAGCTTTCTGTGATTTTAAATTGCAGTTAAAAACTTAAATAGGATATAGATTAAAAAATTCCTCGGATGCGATGTTAATTTGTATGTTTTGTCTCTGAGGCCAGCATAGTTTCTGAATTTGAGGTATGTGATGTCTCAGTAAAATTTATGTTCTAGAACCATCTCTTTAACCAGAGTGGAAGAAAATTGTCATGGACAAGAAGAAATGTAAGATAATTATAAACTAGTTAGGAAGTTATTGGAACATTCTGAAGATTAACAGTACAGCTCTGAACTAGACTAGGAATGCTGGAGTGGAAGGGAGCCCAGAGTGCAAAGCTCAGAGGTCATTTATAGCTGGGCGTTCCCGGATGGATGAGCAGGATAAAGTCATTTCCAACTTGTGATACGGTGGATGGTGTTGCCATTGGTGAGCTTTTGTCAGTTTGAGAAAAACATAGACAATAGTGGGGAAGTGGAAACCTCAGTTGATGAATTTCCTGTATCTGGTTGGCCAGGAGACATGACTGTTGGGCGTTTTCTTAATTGTTAATTAAAGGTCCAGCCTCTGTGGAAGTGTCAGTCCTAGACAGGTGGGCCTGGGCTGCATGAGACAGGTAGTTGAGCAAGCCGGTAAGATCCTCTATGATCTCTGCTTCAGTTCCTGATCCAGGCTTCTGCTTTGAGTTCTTCCCTTGTCTTCCCTGAGAGACTATAAGGTGTAAGAAGAAAAAAAAAGGGTTTCCTTTCCTCACCCAAGTTGCTTTCGGTGAGTGTTTTATCACAGCAACAGTAAAGAAACTGTAACATTTTGGAACTGGATAGAATAAGGGTCTGTTTTTCTGATGCAGGAAAGAAATGTAATGAAGACTATGTTTCGGAATATGTTAAGTCGACAGTACCAAAAAGGCACAATTACTTGTTTGAAAGTGTTGTTTTAGAGACCAAAAGTGCAGTTCAGGAGAGCTCCCTTACTGTGGTGGTTATTGGCATTCAGGTAACACTCACTCACTTTAGCCTAGTAAAGGAGAGCAGAGGGACAAAATGAAAGTAAGAAAGCAGTAGGCTAAAGGAGGGAGGCGGGGCTTGACTGCAGCATCCTCTGCTGGAACAGGAAGGGATTTCAGGCAGAAAGCTGAGGGTGGAGGAGGAAACCCTTGGGAGTGGGTTAAGAGTACTACTAATCCAAGAAGCTCATCCTTGGTGGTGGGGTCAAGAGTATCAAATTTTTCCCCAACTATGCAGAGTCCTTAGAGATTTCAGAATTTGACAGCCTTTGTTATTTTTTGTTTTGTTTTGTTGTGAGAGGTGTTTCTGAAGGGAGACGTCATGTCACAGAAATATTTTTTTAATTAAAAGGAACTGGAGGCTACTAGGTGGAAGGAGATTTGGCAGAACAGCAAAGAGAACTGTGTTTAGAGGGACACAGCTGGGCTCTTTTGTTGCTGACTGGACTGGACAGGACCTGACAGACTGGCGAAAGGAGAGGGAGGGAGGAAGCAATACCAACAGGACATTTTAGAAGACTCTAGTCTCACCATTTTATTAAGTCATACAGTTTTATTTCTAAAAGTAAAACACTTTACCAGTTTTTTTCAAGGTTTAGTAGGTATGGTGATCTTTTTATGTTTACTAACAGGAAAATTTTATTGTAAAACCTAATTCAACAGTCAGATATAAATATGATCATAATTAGAACAGATGTGAACATTAACAAATGATGGCTCATTTTATGATTTGACTAAAGTTTTTAGTGGTTCTAACAAAGCATCAACACATAGAATAGCTATGAGAATGGTTTTGCTCATTGTTCTATAAATTGCTTTTTACATTTTTCTTATTTTCGGGCTGGAGAGATGGCTCAGTGATTAAGAGCACTTGCTGCTCTTGCACAAGATGAAGTTTAGTTCCCAACACTCACATGGTGGCTCAACTGTCTGTAACTACAGTTCCAGGGGATCCAACATCTTCTTCTGGCAACAGACACTCATATGGTGTATATGAATCATGCAAGCAAAACACCAATGTAAAATAGATTTTAAAAATCCAGATTTTTTTACTTTAATAATTTGTCTAATTAAATATTATTTGCAAAGTGTAAATATCACATTACAGTTTCTGAGATTGCTGATATAGTTTAGAATTAGTTCATCTGTCTGTCCTGATACTGATTAGTAAAAAGTTGGTGGAAAACAAGCGAATGGAGGATGAGGCACCACAGATAAAACTCCATCAAAATAGGGTTTATTAGCAAAGGAACACATGGGGCAGATTCCCTTCTGGGCAGGGAAAATGTCTGCCCAGGTCTTGAGCCGGGGTCTTTTAAAAGGGAGGCTTCTGCTTCCTGAAGAAGGCAGGAAGATGTACTTTTTTTAAAGTTGGGTTGGGGGGAAGTGGGAGAGCCGGACTGTTAAAACCTGTCCTCTTTAGAGATCAAAGGGGCAGCCTGCTGTGTTGGCCAAACAGAGGAGAAAAGTCTGCTTCTCTTGACATCAAAGACCAAGGTGCTTATCAGCTAGGTTCCCTTTTCTCAGGAGCATGAGAAGTCCTTGGGATCCTGTTGGTGACGGGCAGGGCTATCTGAACCTTTCCAGATACCATATGTAACTGCTGTTGTTGTATAAAAAATCTGGCCGCGACACTGGGAGTATACAGGAAGCAGGTATTTTATTTAGGCTGTAGCCTGGTCCAGGAGGGTCAAGCCTCAAAATCTGGACCCCAAAGGGAAGTAGAACATATCTTTTATACTTTATGCATTGGGTTACAGTGAGAAAGAAACTTACATATTGATCAGCTATCAGCAAAGTCTTAAAACCTGGCAAAATATTATACATTTAGAAAAGAAAAACATGCTTAAAAAATCCCATCTAAAAGTCATTCCAGAAGTCTCCATCCGAGCCAAACATAATTGAGAAAGTTTCACCAGCATACAGGGTCAGTAGTTCTAGGTCAACTTATCAGTTGAACCTTGCTGGCAGAGGCAGAGGGAGAAAACAAGGATTAAACCTCATAATTTCCTTAAATATTCCATTCGGCTCCACCTCACTGTGTGACACTACTCCTGGGGAAGCAAGAGCAAACATCTACTCAACCTCAGATAGGCAACCAAGGACAGACAGGGAGCCAAAGTGCTAACCTAAAGGTAGCACCAAAGTCAAACTTTTAAACTAATGAGTTTTATTGGGGCTGTTACAGAAATAATGAATGAGGGGTTACTTACTTCCAGCTGCAGAAATGACTCAAAGACAGTTGCATTACCAAAAGCCCACCACCAACATGAGCGACAGCTCAGGACAGCAGGAAACCTGCATAACTACACAACCCGCAGGCAGCTTAAGTGTCCTTTCCAGGAAGCTCGGTTGGTCTGATCTCTTCCAGGAAGCTCAGCTAGTCTTTGCTTCACCCAGACAGCCTGGCTTGTCTGAATGTCAGCAGTCTTGAGGAAAGCGGGGCCTAGTGAACTTGGACATTTTTAGGGACTTCTGGAAGCCGCTGAGTGGTTTATTTCTTGAGTTTAATGAGCTTCCATCCCTGATGGTGTGTTCCACCCACTCTCAAAACATCCTTTTGTTTGCCCAGCACCCCCTCCCCAAAATGGAAGGTTTTGTCTTAGAGGAAATTGTAACACAATACTGAGCAACCAAGTCTTGAAATAATTCTTAAAAGCTTTCATTTTTGTTTTCCATTCTAAGAGAAATCAATAGAATGTAGACATCAAGCAACCAAAGCAGTGTAGTCCTGTGTTATATATTTAACCTTTCAAACAAATATTTCTCACAGCTGTAATGGAAAGAAACAAGAAGTGTTTCCACAGTGGGCGGGGTAGCCTCCTGGTGAATTAGGAATGGTGTGCATTGAGAGGGCAGTGTTTATGACAAGAATTGGCCGGCATGCTCACTTCTTTTTCTCCAGGATACCGGCAGTGTGGTGCAGAGGAGTTCCGCTGTGCTGACGGGCGCTGCCTGCTAAATACTCAATGGCAATGTGATGGTGACTTCGACTGTCCTGACAGGTCTGATGAAGCACCAATCAACCCCGGGTGCAGGAGTGCAGGTACTGCGCTCTACAACACTGTGTTCATTTTCAAGTTTCTTTTTACTTTTTTATTTTTGTTTCTTTGAGGAAGAGTTTCGTGTGGAGCCCAGGTTGACCTCAAACCCTTAATTCTTCCTCACCTTGCTCCTAAATGTTGAAATTAGGAATGTGAACCACCATGCTAGACTTCTAAAGTTTCGTTTTGCTTTTGTAATATAATGACAAAACATACAAATAGACCAGTCATGGCACAGTCCAAGAGCCCACTTACGTGGTTCCAGACTGTGTAAGCAACACAAAGATTCAAAATTACAATTACGACAGGTCCTTGAGCTGCCCTCTCACACACTCAAACACATTTTCTGTTGTTTTGAGGCAGGTTCTTAAGTATCTCAGCCTGGCCTCAAACTCACTGTGTAGCTAAGGATGACCTTGAGCTTCTTCCCCTTGCCCCTGCCTCTTAAGTGCTAGAATTATAGCCAAGTCCACCCATGCCCAGCTTGGATCTTATATTAATATTTTCTATGAAAACAGTGTCTCTACATAAACTTATGTAGAAATTAAAACATAAAAGCAGATGTAATGAGACTATCACATCATCATGCTGTACTCTTATTGATGCCATTCATTTGTGTAATTGCAATATTCCATTAAATTGTAAACGAAAAGTATATTTGAAAAAAAAACCTATGTAGAAACAGTCTGTATTATTCACACATAGACAAAATGGGCTAAATTTCACAGGATATTAATAGAAACATGTTGCCTTCAGACATGCATATGATCAAGCTCATTCTATATATCACTTCACTGTTCTGAAGACTGAGTGTTTAGTCATATGTTTTAGTGCAAATTCAATTCCCTTTTCTGATATAGTTTACATGTTAATAGGTTTTTAAGCCATATGTGATGATGAGTAATGTTCCGTCCATTCAGTTGAGTAGCTGCAAGCTGAACCCTTTTCTACAGCTATGTATAGAAGAACCATTGTTCACCATCAATGTCCTTTTTATGGCCTGACTTAAAAATGTCAGTGCTATATTTTTTTTTGAAGAAAAGAATTTAGGAATATCCACCTATTCTACATTCTTGGTTTTAAAGATTTAATTTCTCAGAGACCTATAGCTTGAGGGAAATGTCAAAGCATCATTATACCTTTGAACTCATTCTTCATAATATCTATGAGACAGAGTCCTCCAGTGTTACTGTGAATGCTTATTGTGACAGTTACTTTCACAGGAAAGCTAGGTTTTCAAATGGCATACTGTTTGCCCTTGGTTTTTCATACATTGTATATAAAATATTGTACTGACTATAAAGCATTTTCTATGCACGTATATTTGTTATAATTTTTGACGTATAAGTCATCATATTTGTGAGTGCTTTCAAACACTGCAGCATAAGAAATGGCATGCCCTTTATATTCCATTTGTTTTATTTTCTTTTTCCAGAACAGTCATGCAACAGTTCATTTTTTATGTGCAAAAATGGCAGGTGCATTCCCAATGGTGGTCTCTGTGACAATACGGATGACTGTGGTGATGGCTCAGATGAGAGGAACTGCCATATAAATGAATGTTTGAGTAAGAAAGTCAGTGGATGTTCTCAAGATTGTCAGGATTTGCCAGTCAGCTACAAGGTGGGTACTAATAGAAAATAGCAAATCATACGATACATTAGAATTTGAGCCAATGAAGACTTTCATTCCAGTATAAGTTTAAAAGTATTATAGTATTGTTGAGTAAAGCTATTTATGGAAACAGTGCCTATACATAAAAAAGTATAATGATATATGATATGAAAGATACGAGATTATAGTTAGGAATAAGAAATGTCAAGACATTTTTTAATCTGTTAGGAATAGGGAAAGAACACAGTTTAGTGCAATGTTACGACAGTAGCTGTATAAACATATTAAACCTAGGTTCTCATTTCTTCCTCCCATTAACTCTTGCACATCCTTGCAGTAGAATAAGTAATTATTTATTTACTTAAATATCAAAAAACACAATATTATTACATAAACAAGAAAGAAAAACCAGAAATTATACATTAGGACCTAGTATAAACACATTAAAAATAAGTCATACCTAATTCAATTGCTTTTTGCTACTGCCTTTTCCCTGAAGAGAGAGATTCAATGGAAAACTGATGGACAGAAACAGCCTCTAAATCTATGGCTGTATTCAGACTCCACCAGCAAAATATTAAAAAGTGAACTTTTGTGTTAATTTAAAACTGGTGATGTGAGCATTGGGAAACCTCATTAAGGGCAATTCATTTGTAACCTGGGACTGTAGCTTAGTTCTTAGAACCCCTACTTGGCATGTGTGAGACCCTCAGTTCTGTTCTCAGCATACCAAAAAGGAAAAAGAAAAGTGATTCACTTGAAAATTAATTTTCGAAATTGGTCAAGCTCAGGATGAACTGGCAGTAGACTAATGGCCTTTATAAAACACCGAGGCAGGGTGTTGCTGGCGAAGACTATTAGATTTCAGCTACTGAGTTCTGTAGCTCATAGAACTCACTTTGGGTATTGTGCACATTTGTGGACTTCCTCCAAACGTACTTTCTCAAAAATAATCTTAACAATATAAAGTTTATCCAGTTTAATAATTTTGAAACATAGAGGGTCTGGAGCCCATATCTTTGGAAGAAATATCTTTGTGAATTAATAGAATAAGAAGTGATTCAAGCCTTGTTTCAAAAGCTAGAGCAGATAATGAGAGACAAATTTACTTCAAGATGAGGTAGATGTTCTCAGCATTGGAACATGAAAACAAATGGGCAGGGAGGGCCACATTCCACTGCAGTGCTTCACCAGTGGCCAAATGAACTCTTTAAAAGAATGCCTGAGAGAAAGGATGTGTCAGTCATGAAGATACTGATCTGTTTTCCTTTGGCAGTTTATGAAAAGCCATTCCTGTATAATGTAAGTTCAACTGAACCACCAAGTTGCTATTTTTTTTTTGGGGGGGGGGTCTTTTTGAGACAGGGTGTCCCTGTAGACCCAGCTGTCCTAGAACTCACTATGTAGACCAGGCTGGCCTTGAACTCACAGAGATCTGCCTGTGTCTGCCTCCTAACTACTGGAATTAAAGGTGTGCACCACCATGCCCAGCCTAAGTTGTTATTTTTAATCTCTAAATTTATGGAATCATGATTATTTAACTATATTGGTAAAGATGTTACTGTAAATAGATGTGACCCTGGAAATTCAGCAATCATTTTCTCCCTCCAGAAAAATAGAGGCTAAAAAAAGACATATTGGCTCTGATACTGTAGTTCATTGGTAGAATGCTTGTGGAACATATGCAAGTCCCTGAGTTGATCCCCAGCAGTGAAAAATATAAAGATGAAGGCGAAGGACAACAAGTATTAGGAAAGCTATGTTTTTCAAAATGTGATTAGAATTAATATTGTATTAAGAAGTCGTTGAATGTATAGACTATACTGTAGATGTACACACAAGTGCTATACATGAGGAAGGAAGTGGTAAAGTAAATGAGCCAGAAGCTGCCTAATGACAGAGTGTATGTCAGCTGATTGACTTTAGCACCCACAGGGCCAGAGACTATATTTTTGATAACTTATATATACTGGTATAGAAATGTTTTCTGAATAGATCAGAAAAAGTTTTATAGAATTATTCTGCGTAACAAGCTTAAAATTTAAATCAAGGGGCTGGAGAGATGGTTCAGTGGGTAAGAGCACAGACTGCTCTTGCAGAGGACCCATGGAGGCTAACACCCATTTGTAACTCCAACTCCATGGGATCTGATGGCCACTTCTGACCTCTGTGGGCATTGCATTTGATATGGGTACACACATCTACATGCAGGCAGTACACTCATACACGTTAAATAAAAATAATAAAATATTTTTAAAAATTTAAATCAAATGTTTGTGAATAATTTTCTAGTTATAGGAGATAAATGTATATTCTATATGACAAATTTAAGAGTAAATCTCTGCTTAAGTTGTCTGTATTTAATGTCTGTCATAACAATTGGCAATAAAAATGGAAAATCATGGAACACCTGTGGATGTTTTATAACAAGAAACAGAAATGAAATTTTCTTTTAAAATGTTTTCATATGAGGAAATCTTAGTACGTAACAATACAGCATTTGAAAACCTCCTGGCAGAAGATGCTGTATAGAAAACCGTGTTAGATTATACTGGGTTATCTTAAAAGATTCCTCATGCAGGAATACTTGGGTGTCAAACCTTTTAAAATATCATAATTTTTACTTTGCCTTCTTTGCGTGTGCTATACAATGAGATGAAAATACGGGCAGAAATGCATAAATCTATTTTCACAAGGTTTTATGATGCCTAAGGAATTGCTGTAAATAATTTTCTTAGATGCATACAGACATATGTTAAAATTAATGAAGCCAGGCATGGTGGAGCATGTCTTTAATCCCAGCACTTGGGAGGCAGAGGCAAGCAAATCCCTGTGAGTTTAAGGCTAGCCTGGTCTACATAGTGAGTTCAAGGCCACCTGGAACTATAGAGAGACCTTGTCCAAAAACACCAATCATGGCTCTTACTATTTCCACCACCTCTTCCACAGTGGTCCCTGAGATGTGGGGTGGGTGAGGTTTAATATAGGGGCCCTATCCAAGGACATGCACTCTGCAGTCTCTTGATCTCTAAAACTCAGTCAGCTGAGGCCTTCTGTGTGCATCATACTCTGTTGTTTGAGGAAGTTTCACTGGTGAAAGTTGAGAGATACATTAGTATTCTCTCTATCCCCTGTTCTGCTATGTTCCATGAGCCTTAGATACAGAAGTTCTACTGGAGATGTGTCACTTAGGGCTGGGCATCTCTGACATATATTCTCAGTGTGGGATCAGTTTTAGAACTCTGCAATACACACCCTATGTTGAAAAAAAAAAAAAAAAAACTCCTTTGATGAGTGGTGAGAGGTACCCTTGTCTGTAAACATAAGGATACATTTTTAGAATAGAGTAAGAAATTTTGTCTAGAGCTATGTCAGAGATAGGGTTTTCTCTAGCACTCTCCAGCCATGTGTATTTGGCTATATTTACAGTGCCATCCATGAGTTCCCTCTCATTGAGAGGGCTTCAAGTCCAGTTAGATAGCTGGTGATTACTCTGTAGATAAAAGTGCCACTACTACATTTGTGGAGATCGTTTGTTATACCAGCTGTTGTGATTTTTAGACTTTGAAGCTGGGCTGTACTTTTGATTGATTTTCTCCCTTAGCAGTTTGCATGGTTTCCTCTAGAACTATGAGAGCTAGTCTTCACGGAGAAGGATTCCAGGTTAGTTCTTGCTCCATTGCTGCAAGTCCTGTGCCAAAGGTATGTCTTGTATTCAACAATAGGGTTTTACCTTAAAGTATTGGCAGGTAATCAAGGGCTGTGGTAATAGCCTGTGTTATTATGGGAGTCTCTTGGGCTACCCTGACCAACAACTTGAAGGGAGGTCTCTCCTGTCTGACACTGTATTCCTTGTTATATAGCCTTCAGGTATATACATACACTCATGTTCAGGTATTGTATGGGGTTTTTTTTCAAGGGCTTTTTGAGTTAATACATTTCCTTCTGGCTTTTTACAGCACCTTAGCTTTATTTCTCTCTCCCCTCTCTCCATGTCTAAACTCCCCCCTCCCTCCCCAGTTTAAGTCCCTTCATTTTCCCCTTTTTCCCATTGATAATACCTGTCACATTATCTCTCCCCCTTTTGAGTTCCTTCTTCCCATTTTCCCCCATGATTCCTTGTATGTCCTTCCCACTTCCCTTCTCAGTTGAATACCCCATTTCCCCCAGTTTCCCGGTGGTAGCATCTGTTTCCTACTAGTCACCTCTCTCAGGCTTTTTCTTTCCCTTTGCCACTGTGCTTCCTTTCCATTTTCCTAGCTCCTCCTGTTCCATCAACATATATACTCATGTATAAGGAAGTGGTGCTAAGATTCAAGAATGAAGAAGAACATGTTGCTTTTCTGAGTTTGTGTTGCTTCACTTAGTATAACAGTCTCTAGTTCCAACCATTTACCTGCAAATTTCATCTTTCCTCACTGCTGAGCAGAACTCCATTGTGTAAATGTACCACATTGTCATTATCCATTTGTCAGCTGAGGAACATTTAGGTTGCTTCCATTTCTTAGCTATTGTGAAAAGAGCAGCAACAAGCATGGCTGTACAGTAGGATGAGTCCTTTGGGTATATTCAAAGGAATGGTATAACCAGATCATATGGTGGATTCATTTTTAGGTTTTTAAGTGTTCTCCACACTTCTTTCCATAGCGGTTGCATGAGTTTGCATTCCCACCCACACAGAGTGAGCGTTCCCTTTCTCCCCATGAGTTTGCATTCCCACCCGCACAGAGTGAGCGTTCCCTTTTCTCCACTTTCTCGCCAGTTTGGTGTTTTGCCTTCTCTTGACCTTAGCCAGTCTGACTGGGGTAAGACAAAATCTTAAATTTTTTTTTTCTTTATTATTCTTAATGTGTGTGACTGTATCCCTTGCATGTATGTAAATGTACCCATGTCATGTAGCGTCCACAGAGGTCAGAAGAGGGTGTCAGAGCCCCTGGAACTAGATTTAGCACAACGAATGTAATCTAAATTTTTAATTGTTATGTTTTTTAACATTTTTACAATCCCAGCTCGAGGATCTAAAGACAGGTCCCTGGGAAACTTCAGTCTTTTCATAAAGAGTACAGTAAGATACACACCACTGAGTTCGGATACTTCGATTATCCTTTTCTCTGTGTTAGGCCAATAGAGATTGTTTCCAGTCCAATCAACAGCAAGTGCTTTGGGGACAGTGGTGTTATGCACTACCTAACAAAATAGTGGAGCTCCTTATGCTGCAGGGGAATTAAAGTACAGTGGGAGGGTTCTGACTTACCAGAATGGTAGGCAGGTCTGAGACAGGCAGATCAGGCCAAGGGCAAGGTGGGGATGGGGAGAGCCTGTGGAGGGTCTATCAAACTAAGTTGAAGGAGAATTGAGCTAGTCTAAGTGCAGGGGATCAGGACACGGTGGATAAGTCTGGGCTAGGAGGGTAGTCCAGAGATCTGAGATGGAAAGAGCAGGGGTGGGCCTGGGCCTGAGGCTAGAAGGGGCACTCAGTGCAAGAAGAGAGTGGCTTGCTTTCTCTTTAGTCTTAGGCATTCTGTCTGGGGTAAGATAAAATCTCAAAGTAGTTTTAATTTTCATTTTCTTCATGAATAAGAATGTTGAAAATCAGGATTCAAGAAATGGTTCAGAACATTTGCTATTTAGCGTGGGGAACTGAGTTCAAATCTTCAGCATCCATGTAAATGTTGGGCATTGCTGTGCATTTCTGTGACCTCGGCATTGAGGGGCAGAGACAGGCAGATCTTGGTATCTCACTGGCTAGTCAGCCTATTCAAAATGGTGAGCTTCAGGTTCAATGATGATCCCTCTTCAAAAAAATACTATGGAGAACAGGAGAGGAAGACTCTTGGTGCCATCCTCTGGTCTCACCTTAAAGATACAGAGGCTGACGGAAGCTTGTTTAGATAATAAAAATAGTAAACTGTCATGCCACAAAGTACCCTTGTGGGTAAGAAAGCTCCAATTGTATCATAGAATTTTGTTTTCAAGATTATTTTAAAAAAAATTTAAAGACACTTTTCTGAGAATCATAAAAACGTTTGGATATCTACATGCCTTTCTGGTTGCTATACATTCCTATACAATTTCTCACAAGTCAGGAAAATGTGCAATAATTCCAAATGATTAAAAAATTAAGCTAACAAAATATCATTTTTTAATATATAGAAACAAATCCTGAATCTTTTATCTTTTAATTTTGTGTATTAGTCTAATAGAATTTCTTAGTGATTCTTTTAGATGACTTGGGAATAAAAATTTTGTTTTTATAAACAAGGTAAAAATGTTCAAATGGATTGAGGAAAAATTATCTTAATTTTTTTTCTCTTTTCAAAATTAAAAAAAAATTACCCCAATCTTAAATGAAAAAGAAAAACTTTATTGAGAATTTCATACATGCATATAAGATGTTTTGATCATATCCATGCCCACTCCCTCCCCTCCAACAACCTCCCATATAAATTTTTATCTTTATAATTATATATACAATAAGTTTAGCCTTTTACTTTCAATAAATTACTTTAAAGCAACTTTGTTTTATTCAAGCATGTATTTGATAAATTCTGCTTTACCTCTCTCCCAGGCATTCAAAGTGATTTTTAGGAGCCTCATTAAAATTGTGATGCACCTGAGACTTTTATTATTCTGAGAGGAGTTCAACACATTCTGTAAAGTCCTGCCTGCCTTTAAGAGCCATTTTGTTCAGCACTGCTTTGTGTCTAATAGTGAGACTTTTGGCTTCCAACCACACTAGCTTATGATATCATTTCTAGTGCCGTACTTCCTTTTCTTTTTACAACTATTTATTTTTTAAAATTGTTATGAAATGCATGCAACTTGGAATTTGCCATTGTGTGTATACACTCATGTGTATGCATGTATTGTGTCTGTCTGCGCATGTAAATATATGCCTGCTCATGGAGGCCAGAGGTCAATGCTGAGTGTCTTCCTAAATAGCTCTCTGCCTCATCTTTTGAGACAGTGGATCTGGTGAACCCTGGTGCTCAACGCCTTTTTACACGATTGTTGGGGATCCTAAACTACTATCCTTGAGCTTGCATGGCAAACACTTTACTGACTGAGCCATTTCCCCCAAACTCAGAATTTTCAGTTTTGACTCTTTTGAAGTGTACAGCTCAGTGCCATTATGAATGTCATTTTCCATGACTATGGCATAAGTGCCAATGCTTCTTGGATTACAGTTTAGGTGGCAGGATGGGTTTTCACAAGGGAAGTCACAGCATCCCAAATGTAGATATGAAGAGGAAACTGAAATCAGTGGGCTGTTTCATGCTTCTTTCCTAGGTTGCCGTGAGCTCCAGACTCTTAAATAATGCATTATAATTGCTGAATCATCAGATAAATGCTGATAGAAACTGTCGAAGTTGACAGTGGTAAAAGAGCATAGGGATTTCCTGCCTCACAAAAATACCTAAGAAACATAATTATCTATTTTGAGCACATTCAGATGTTGATGTTACTTCTTTGCTTATCCATGAGTGTTTTTACATTGAAAATTATCGCTGATCATTAGTGAACTAATATTATGTCATATGTCACTTTAGTATATTTCCTAATAGATACAAACTCTGCCATCTCTTTCTCAAATAAATTATCAAGATTGTAAGATGTTTACAATAAATAACTATTGAAAGTTACTTTTAACAATTTAAAGTTAGTTTCTATCTACTTCAGTTCTTAATATTCACAAATTTGCCTTTATTCGAAGTACACAGATGAAGCCAGAGCTAATGTTAACAATCATCTGCAAGGTATAGGTTCATTCTTCAGTACTAATTCCCATATAGACCTAAAGACAGTGACCAGTCGCAATGTGTGATAATTTTTAGTAATGTAAAATCATAGCTGGATGTTTGCACCTGGAGAGCTGACTTATTGGTAAATATCATCTTCAGACAGACATAGAACACAGGGAGATAATGAAGCAACAATTTGATAATACATACTGATTTCATTATTTAGGGATGTCTTGATGTAAAACTCGGTTGAGTCAAAACATGTTGAGAGGTTCCATGTTTTAAAAATCTTTGGCAAGACCCATATTTTCTACTGTATTTCTCAAAGCAACTTAACCTTCATGATCTGACATTTCTCATCTGTTCAGTCATCTGCAAATATCTAGAAAATGGATTTCTATGAATCTCTAATGAAGCATGCAAAAATGTTAGGTTACTATCTTCCAAACTAGACATACAAAGTAATTCACATTATTATTCAAATTATCCAAAATCACAGCAGAATGCAAAAATATATGAATAAAAATATTACATGTGGTGATGCATACCTGTAACTCCAAACCTTGGGAAGCTGAGGTCAGCCTGGGTTACAGTGCAAAGTCAACAGGGAAGAGATGGAATAACTCAGAAGTTAAGGTCTGGTTCTGGATTTCGCCACTTTTAGCTACCTGGGCTTCAGTGATGTCAGTTCTTATCATCTCTCCAGCTTCAGTCAGATGCTGTTTGAGCTTCACATGGTTTGTAATTCTTGTTAAGGTTAATTGCCAGGAGACAGTCTTGCTGTCTGACTCTAGGTGTCTTTCTAGCTTGAGCCATGCTAAAGAGATTACCAATAGCAACAGACAGTGACAATGATACCAATTGATCATGCTCATTTTTCTTTCTTCAGTGCAAATGTTGGCCTGGATTCCAACTGAAGAATGATGGTAAAACATGTGTAGACATTGACGAATGCTCTTCGGGTTTTCCCTGTAGTCAGCAATGCATCAATACCTATGGGACCTACAAGTGCCTCTGTGCAGATGGCTATGAAATAAAACCTGATAACCCAAACGGCTGCAAGTCACTCTCAGGTATTGAATTTAACTTGCCCGTGATCCAACCTCAGTTACACGAATGGATCTTGGCTTTTGTACTCATTTTTTATTGAATTCACTCCTTGTTCCTGTTACAGAGATATCAAAATGCTTCCTTCAGAATGGGTGTAGTTACTGTGATTGTGTATGTGGTACAAAAGCGTTCTGCTTGTAATAAGGTTATGTTATAATATGTGAAGTATTAAGTGCTGCTGAGATGTTGAGAGTGCTCACGTGTAAAGTAATAATCATAATATGCTTTCTACTGCTGCATACAGTGTTACAGCAAATTTGGTCAAGACTGAAAGAGACTACTTTAGCACCATTGTAATAATTTCCCTTCTCTCCTACATGCATGCTGTTGAGAACAACAGGTCAATAATATTAATAATGTTCATAATAAACCAGCTCTGCAATATTACATAAATCATTTAGTGATTCAGCAAATATTAGACCATATGTTTATTCAAAATAGTGTGATTTTGTAAATTAGAAATTTAATAAAGCAAGACCCATAATTTGGGAAAAATTGAAAATTAAGAGATAAATCATTCATATTAAAATGGTACAAAGAAATGCATGATAATGATTGTTAAATTGCACAAAATGCCTTGGAAGAGAATCTCTATCTCTCTTAATTTGTTTTTAAATATTATGAAAACTAACAGCTATACTCATAAAAGTGAGAGCATTTAAAAATTTCATGTTTTATTGTCTGTGTTCATGGACTAGGTTTCAGGGGTGGAATTTTAAAATCATATTTAAAAATAAAGCTTTATTTTTCTACAATATGCATATTAAGTAACACTTTAGTAGAATTTTTATATAGTTTTAAACAGAAAAAATAGGGAAAATTTTCAGATTACAAAACAAATTCAACAACACCAAAAAAATTACTCTTTCAAGTTTGGAAAATGTATTCAGTCATGTTTATTTTGCAATCCACTAATGGTCAATGGAATTAAAAAGAAAGCTCAGCCTTCACAACTACTGCCTCAAATGGACAACACATATTGGAATCTTATGGAATACAAAAATGTTTCTTGCTACTCCAATACCCAGAAATTCGAATTTACATATCCTCCATGAAAAGAAAACAAAACTGTTTTTTTTTAAATTATCCTTTATTGTTCTCTTTTCTAAATATCATAGTATACCTACACATTCTCTAACCTATAATGTATACATGTAATATGAATTTTTTAAATCATTAAGCTTTTGCACATTATATAGACTATATTAACTAATTTCGATTTTTATTCCATTGTCACTTATTCTTAGAATATTCTTTTCTGAGCTCATGGTGGATCATGTGGAGCCCAGTGCTTCATGTACCAAACCATTGGGCAACTCATTGCTTGCTACATTATATATGTAGTGACATGAATGAGATAAAAAGCTCAGAAACAGTGAATTGTTCCATAGCTTCAGACCTTCCATTAAAGGTGGTGAGGTGTGTCAGAGACTGCAGTTCAGAGCGGTTCTGTAGTCTTGCTATGGCTGTGCTTATTAGTAATAAGAACTAGAAACTATTAATAATTCAGAATATAAAATGTGTTTTTGTAACATGTATCTTTTTCTAAAGACAAATTCAGTTTTCTTTACTTTCTTTTTTTGTTTTGTTTACTACATGAGACAGGGTTTCATTTAGCCTAGGCTGGCTTTGAACTAATGGTATAGCAGAGAGTGACCCTGATCCTCCTGATTCTACCTCCCAAATGCTATGATCACAGATATGTGCTATAATGCCCAATTGTATGAGAGTCTTGGAATCCAGCCTAGGATTTCGTGCATTCTAGGAAAACATTCTCCCAAATGAGTTACGTTCCTAGTCCAACAGCTAAGTTTTTAAAACTAAATCTATTCAAGGTGAAGAGAAAGAAATGCCTACTATTAAAGTAGAATATGACCAATTATATATTTATAATTGATACTATATTGATAGGAATAGCAAGATACCTGCATCTAGCTTGAGAGTCAAATTATGTGTTTAAATATGCTTTAGCGGGAAGGTTAGAATGACCACTTGAGGTGTTGGACATGGATGATGGGACAGGATGGCCAACATGATTGCTGTAATATCCTCTGAGACACCAAACAGTACCTTAGCTGTGAAACTGGTAAAATGGGACAAAAGCATACTTTAAAACATAAAAAGAACAATACTAGAGTAGTATGTGACTTACAATAAAACCTACATTGTATTATAAAAATAATTACCTTTTCAAGTTTCTTTTCTAGTTACTGTGAACATTAAATTTACTTATTTGGTAAACAAATATATAAATGTGTCTCAGAAACAGATGTTTGGGATAATATTTCACTGCGTTGATCTAGGATTATAGTAAGTGATAATGAAGTCAAACTGACTTTACATATATATTCAAATAAATGTGTGTGCACATCTTTATAACTGCTTTTCTTTATGAATTTATTTTGTTTCTAAATAAACACCAAGCATAGCATCAAGTCAAAAGTCCACAAGATCTCATATTGAACACAGACAAGTCCCTTGTCATGCTTTCCTAGATTTTAAAATATGTACTATAGTAAGACACATTGGACGAGCTTATAAGAAAGAATTACAAAAGATTCAAACTAAGAATAATGAGAAATGGCAAAATTAATAAACAAAAACCAAAACCTGGGGTTTAGAAATGGCAGAAGAGAAGCCGTTCTGCAAATGAAAAGCACCCATTAGGAGGAACACCCTTGTCTACACCTGGTTGATTATCAAGAAGGAATTTCCCAACTGGGTATTTGGCTATACAGTAGCTTCTAAGACAGTGTACTATACCTTTTTCTCAAATTCATTACAGATATCTACAACAGTAGAGATTTCCTGCTAATACCAAAAACATTATCCCAAAGTCTAAGAGATCTGAGGGTAAGAGAGATGCCCCTAGAATTTTCCAGATTCCCTCCCTGCCCCACTGAGTGCTGCGCTTGACTTTCCTGCAGCCAGCATGGCTGTCCCCAGCACAGCAGGCAGGTGGTTTATACTGCTGCTAAACCGAACTGAGAGGAAGCCACACAGAAACTGGTAAATACGAATGTCTAATACATTCTTCTCTTTGCTTTTAGATGAAGAACCCTTTCTCATTCTCGCCGATCAACATGAGATAAGGAAAATTAGCACAGACGGCTCCAACTACACACTTCTAAAACAGGTATGGCAAAGATGTTGAGTGTGGGTCCTCCAGGTGTCAGCAAGGCTATGCAGATGGACTACCTAACAATTGCAGTCAGTGAAGCGCATACTCATGGATGCATACACATTCATGCATGTATAAAATTACTATGATGTTTGTCACAATGAGCAAAGTGGTTCCAACTTGCTGTATGATGGCACGTGGAAGAAAGCAATTATGGTAGAGCATAATTAATGCAGGAGAAATCATCTCAAGAACAGTGAGCTGGAAGTGCTGCCGAGTGTTTTTCTTTCTTTTCTCCCCTTTCATTTTAGTATTTTTATTTAGGGATTTCACACCTGAGCACACTGTATTCCACCACCCTCGAGAGAAAGATGCCATCTACTGAATCCATTAGGGTTGCCCCTATTTGCATGTGTTTAGCAAAGACTACTTAGAATTGAGGATGCCTCCATGAAAATAATCAACAAAGCTTGGAAATACTGGCTTTCCCTCCCTCAGCAGTCAGGGACAGCCTGAGGCTCATTTATTTTTAGGCCTGCTCAAACCCAAATTCTTTCCCTCCCTTTGGTTTTGAAAAGTTGCTATTTTTAGAACTTAAAGTTCCTATTCCTAGAACCAGAAAGTAACACAGAATTGACATTGCCTAGCCTTTACAATCAGGAATGATCAAGAGAACTAAAGTATGATTGCAGCCCAGTTACGGTTATTTCTTATTTATTTATTTATTTATTTATACTTATTTATTTGTTGTTTTTTTTTATTTTTTTACACAGGCAGGGTCTCATTATGTGCTCAAATTAGCATTGAACTCCCTGAGCCTCTGGAATTACAGGCTTGTTCCATCAAACTCACTTTTCTAACCTCCTTCCCCCAGCTACTAGTAGGACCATGCTTAAAAAACACAAGCTACGTAACCCCACTCTCATCTCTTGATTAGAATCTTGGCCTGGTTAGTTTGAGTCCTTTCTCTCTCAGTTTATCTATCCATATCATTTATACACAAATTATTATTTCCACCTTCACAGAATACAGAACTGTCAGGCTCATGATTGACATCTGTTCTTCCACAAGTGTCTCAAAAATACCATGAAGTCAAGTAATTAAAACAACAGTGGTCATTGCAGGAAGTAGAGAAATCACATACAATTAGTTATACCACATTTTATTTTAAAGGTGTTAGATTAAAAGGTGGCAGAGATCGGGATCGTAGAGAAAAGGAAATAAAGAGGACTCTGGCAAAGTGAGAGTTTAATTGGGTTTGGCACTGCTGGTCCTCAACTCCAGTGTGACAAAGAACAAGCAGCCTAATGGCTGCAGAGGGGTAGCTTATAAAGGGACAGAATGCGGAAAAAGAGAATATTTTTCTGCTGTTTGGGACAGTTTTGGGGGCTGCTTGCTCATGGAGGCCGTGAGGTCTGTACCTGGTGAAACTTCCCGAGGAAAACATCTACAGTAAAACATGTTTTCTACACTTATAGGGTTCCAGGAATTAATTGCAGCTAAGGGCTTGGGAAACCTGTTTGTCAGCCTGTGGAGCATGCTCTCTTGATCACAATACATTGGTCATTATATCCCTGGAGCTGTTTTTGTTAACTTGCAGGTGGCCCGGAGTTGGTTGACTCAGCTCCTCTCAGGAGCATCATGGTGTCTGGGGCTGGCATCACCTGGATCTGAGCTCTATCAAAAGATACCCTTGGAAATAGTTTCTAGCAGTTGTATAAAAGTCTCTTTACTCCCAACTACATAATATATCAAAATTAAAGACATTTCTTGTTTTTGTAGTATGTCTGTGACAATGTTAGGATCAATGAGGGACACCATTCACCTGGTGATTATTCATCAACATAAAAATAAAAGATTACCACAGCTGCCTCCAAGAGCACTGGTTTCAGAGCAAAGCCATGGGCTCTGTGGTCTGTTGCATGAAATGGCATGGGATCTGCACACAGGCTACACATGTCCTCCTTATACATTAAGTCATTTCCAGGTTATCTAGAATATGCAACACAAATTAAATGCTTTCTAAATATTATCTAGACTGTAAATATTAACTAGATTGTATTATTTAGGGACTAAAGACAAGAAAATCTGTACAAATTCCTACATGTAACTTTCCCCCATAAATCTTCAGTTATCTTTAGTAGATGGAACAATGGAGCTTAGAGATATTAGGAGTCATGTGTTGACCTAAAATTGTTTTCCCTAATAACCAATGAATTCTTTCTTTGCAAATGTATTTCATGTGATTTTCTTTAGGAGCTAATCTTATTTAAGTGAAATATCCAATTGTCAGTGTGATATTACTCATCCTATTAGATCCGAATGTCTCAGCTTTCCTTTGGATCAAAGACTGAAAGTGAAAAAATATCTGGATTGCTGGCTAGTCACTAAATTATAGGGAAGTGTAGAGATTTGGGCATCCTTGCATTCAGCATCCACACTGTTTGGGAGCTCTTGCCTCTCCACTATGTGCATGAGCCCCAATCATCAGATCCCCCGTGCTTGGGGCATGTACTCTTGCCAGATTCTTGAAAGTTTGTGACACTTCGAATCTTGCTCTGAGTCTGGAGGGTTATACCAGGCATGGCATGGCACGGTGTGTCGCATTGCTTCTCTCTTTAATTGTAGATCCTTCAGCGATTATGTAAAACACAAAGTAATTTTCACTTTATAGAAAGTAAATAAAAATCTGCCTAAACTATAAGAATTGGACCTCCATCTTTTTAAGAGATGAATTGCATGACAGTCTTTAGAAAGTTTAAGTATATATAACTGTTTCAAATGAAAAAAAAAAAAAGAATGGTGACCTAAATTGTATCTTACATAAGTCAAGCTGGTTTTTTTGACCTGCAGAACATATTTTAAAAATGTGTGTTCCAGTGACAAAATATTGAAGATTTTCTCTGTTCTGGCATGTATCTTCACACCTTTTCAAACTTCACTATTTCAAAGTGAGGCATACCAGTTTCTGATTTCCTGGTCTGTTCTCAGGAAAAGGAACAAGTTATATTTACTAGTAGCTAGTAATCCAGTCTTTATACTGTGCAACCTCAGTTTCAAGACAGGAATTTTAAATACCCCATTTTTCAGCTCAGCTAAGGCATATAGCAAGGATTTTATTGTTTATGAAAGAATGATTGCAATTTAGATGACCACTCCTCACTTCATTTTCCAGGCCTGTGGCTCAAGATATTCATGCTTTGTCCCTTTTGCTGTCTTGCATGGTTAGTACCTTGTGAGAGATTGTTTTTGGTAGAACAGTTATTTCCGGTATGCAGCATTAAGTCTACTTAAATATAACAGAATCTCTTTCATATGCCTGCCTCCTGTTGTCCTTTGTACTGTTAACACCTGCATGGGGATGCGCTTCACATGTTTCCTAGAGCTGATTTATGAAACTGAAGGTGTGAGTTCATGAGAAACTCCAAGCACCTGTGTCTTTGTGGAAAATATTTGTTACTGGTGACCATGGAGTAAGGAAACAGAACCCAGAGAAAGAAGACAAGATTTGCATGTGGCTTTGTCTAGGGATTTCTTGGAATACTTCATTTTTCATTAAGAAACATATTTAATCAGCATTTCATCGTATTATTATGAAAATCTTTAAGTTTTCCTGCTTAGGAGAATCTTTTTTTTTTTTTTTTTTCTTTCTTGAGTGCTATTGTCTAAACATGCAAAATGAAGGAGAGGCAATTATCTCTCTCTGCTGCATCTCTGCCCAAATAAATGAAGAGTCCTAAACTTAATTAATTGTAATTTTTGTATATCTGTTTAGGAAGAATACATTCTTGTAGTGTTTTTAATTTTATTCTTTATTATAGTCAGGAATAATCTAATGCGATTTAATGAAGGGTAGAGTTCCTTATTAGTATGTAGACTGTGGAATTCGACTGTGCTCGTCCAGCTATGGTTTGAATTCATAGATCACATTTAGAAAATGTACTTTAATAACATGGATTGTAGGAATGAAAATTAATCAAGTAGCTTCCCAATGTTATCCAATTCAATTCTAACTGTGCCTTTATCCCAGCAAAACTGTATAGAGAAACAACATGCAATTTCCTAAATTAATCATCTTGAACCAAAGGGTGTAAATCTTCAGCTACCAAAATGAGAGAAGCAAACAGGATTTTGATGAAATCAATTTTCAGCTCAGAAACTACTGGGATGCCTCTAGTTTTCAGACCTTATTTTGGTCATCCCTGACTGTTTTAATGTCCTTTGCTTGTGATTCTACAAAGAGAGCATTGAACTGTTTCTGTGGGGAATCAGCGAGAAAAGCTGCAGAAAAATGTCTGCCTTGGCTGGATAGAAATGTCAGAACAGTGTTTCAGTTCCTCTGCATTTCCAGTTTTGATTTATTATGCTTGACTTGCTGAATTTGGATTTAAATTTTCATTATCGAAAGAGATTATTGTTAAGAATGGAGTAGATGAATATTTGCTAAAGTGAGAGGCAAATTTGTAAGTTTTGCTTACAAAGCTTTGCGTTTAATGATCTGAGTTGCCAAACCATCACGGAATCCTAATCCATTTACATTATTCCTTAAAGCAATTGAACAAAAAGAAGTTGTAGACTACTATTGAAATGAATTTATTTGGCTTGCTACAGAAGTTGTCTGGAATATACGAAGGTTATGTTTTAGGACTTTGATTTTTCATAGTCAATTTTCCAGACAACTACAGTAAATGGTTTCATTAAGACATTCTCCAGCTTTGAGTACGTCCACAGATACTTAATGAATATGAATTCACATGTTTCAGTGTTTATGATTATTCATTATTAGCAATGACTTGCACTGAGTCATTCTTTACCACATTATATTCCTTATTTATGCCCAACAGCATGTAATCCTGGAGAGGAGAGGCCATTAGTTTTGTAATTTGGAAACAAAGAGAATGAGATTACTCATGTTAATTCCCACAATAAATAAGATTTAAACATGTGATATTAAAATCATTATTACTGGAATTTAGCCCTGCTATAATAAAGTAAAAAGTAAAACAAGTTTTTTTTCATAGTATTTTCTAGCTAGATTTTATGCACAGTCCATTTTAAATTTCAGAAGTTCCTGGAAAGAAATAAAATATGAACATTGACCATTTAACCTTGGCATGACTCTTATAAGGGAGTATAGAACAGTACTATTACTATCTATTTCTAAATATTTAGAATAAATGTAAGAATCAGAGGCAGACTTGAGAATTACTATGTTTCTTAGTGCTCCTTCCCAAAGAAAAACAAAATCAGAAAACTCCCTGGCTTGCTGGAGGTGCTAACCCTAAACCACAGGACTGCAACTCATTTAAAGTGTGAGTGTACCAACTTTAACGTTAATATGACATAAGGGCTCAAGCTTCACAGATATAAATTCATGTCAAAGATCTGAGGGGATCTGACAAACATCTCTAGCATCACTTATCTCCTGAATGAAAATAATTTATGTATTAATAAACTATTCTGGTCTTAAGATGAGTTAAGCAATTCAATTTCTGATCCATGTTTTCTTAGTCCACTGAGACTAAAGCAGCTGAGCCCTGGCAACAGGTCAGAACTGAGCTAATTTCTCATAAATCATTTGAGCAATTCAGTAGTATAGTAAATGTGCAGATCCTGGTAATACAGTATTCAAATGAAGCCAAACTTTTGAATGGCCAAACCCCAAAACTGGAGCATCCAGAAACTTAACAGTCGAGTGTATGCTGTTTTGTTACCTGCTACAAAATATTTAATCATGAGCCTGAAGGGAGGCCTTCCCTCTTATTTCCACCATGTAGAGTAAAAAGACCTTGAAAATCTAGTTCCTCCTTGGTCAATGGTTCTTGCAAAGTTACAGCTTTTAAATTCTACTATTACCCTGTCTTGCCTAAGGTGTGATATAAGGACACTTACATATGTCGTTGAGACAGAAGCCTTGGAGGAAAGTGAAATTCCCACACCTTTACTGACTCATCAGATGGCTATCCAGGGCCCATAGCTTGATTCTCACAAATGTTAGATGTTTTAAGTCTTCATACTAGATGCATGGTCTTTTTCAGTTCATCCACAGTGTTGAAATGACATCAAATTTCCATTGACTATTAATAATGGCAGCTTTTCTATTAAGGTAACATTTCTCTTTAATTTGGGCATTGTTACCTCAAATATTCATTAGTAGAAGCTTCTTCCACTCGAAGGATACAGTTCCTTACAACCTTTGGAAAGATTTCCCATATAAAATATGGTTGCCAAAATGCCAAGATACTGTAGATCTACTGAAGGCTCAGAGGAGGAGTTAGAGAGGTATTTATACTAGTGTGCTAGTGTGTTCTGTTCTCATCCAGATGGACTGTCACTTCCCAACTTAACTATAGGGAGGGTCACAAATGAAACCACAGTGAAGCACGTTCTTCTTTTTGCCTTGCACAGTCTTGAGTGTTTTTCCCAAGCTAGTATTTCAGTGTTAGCACTGGGATACTTTTCTCAATGGACAATGCTAGACACACGTTAGAAAGGGCTATAGTTGTGACAGCAGCTCTTCATTGGCATTTGAATTGGTGGAGACATACAAGATTCTTGGGCAAACATTTCTTCTTCTTTGGATGACTCAGGAGGTTCCAATTCTTTCATTTCCATTTATTTTGTTTTTGTTTTAACTTTTAAGGTTAGTGTACAAAATAATGATTCAATTATGACATTTTCATTCATGTTTTGTTCTTATTCATCTCTCTCTTCACCTCTTGTCCCCTGTGCTGGCATATTCTTGTCTCTTCTACCTCAATGGTTTCTCTACTTCCTGTTAGAAAGAAGAAATGAAAAGAAGAGGGTTGTAGGTTCATAGAAAGGAAGCTGAAATGAGATTGCCCTTGAGAATGGACTTTATTAGGAGAAATCCTCATAGCCAGGACAGCCATGGTGGGACCTTGAAGCAGGAGAGCATTGGAAGAGATAGCTGCAAAGCATAGCTTGATGAGCTGCTTGAAGAGAGAGACAGACCCTTCAAATAGAGGGTTTTCTGAGAGATTGAGATTTTCAAGGATGGATCTGATCCACATCGTGTGCTTTAACATGACATATGCTGTTCGACAGGGACAAGAGACATGCACTAGGTAGGACCATGAACTTTCCTTTCAGCTACAGGCAGGAAAGAAGGATTCAAGACACAGTATGCTCTTTACCTTCTCTGACAGAGCGAGAGAGAGAGAGAGAGAGAGAGAGAGAGAGAGAGGAGAGAGAGAGAGTGTGTGATTTAGGGTCCAGATTTAAGAAAGAGTATGGTATTAATATTTCTAAGTGACTTATTTCACATAGCATGATGAATTCCAGTTGCATCTATTTTCCTGCAAACGTCATGATTTCATTTTTTTAACGACTGTATAAAATTTCATTGTGTATATGAACCACATCCATTGATGGGTATGTAGACTGATTCCATTTCTTAAATGCTAGGAATAGGGCAGCAGTAAAAGTGGATAGGTAATATTTCTGTACTTGGGCTTAGAATCTGTTAATTATACACTCAGGAGTGGTGTAACTGGGTCATATGGTGGTTAACTTTTTAGGTTTTTGAGAACTCACTATCCATGTTTGTATTTTCACCAATGTCATGTACTCTCACTTGTCAATTTTACTATTATTTGCTGTGTTTTAGGAGTCCTTTTCAGAAAATCCTTATTTATGCCTCTATCTTGAAGGTTCTTTTCCTTATGTTTCCCATACCAATTTCAAAGTCTTAATTATTATAGTAAGGTATTTGGTTAACTTTAAATTGAGTCTTGGGTAGAGTCTGAGATATAGATCTAATTTTATTCAACAACTTTGCTCTTTATAAATTGTCTGGTTTTCTTTTTCTTTTTTTTGTCATACTGCCCACTATTTGTACAAACCACTATAAATGTTACAATTCTCTCTTCTTATTGGAAAATTATTTTCAATTGAATAATGTATCTTTTAAGAATGTGGCATGGAGAAAATATAAACATATTTTCTTAAAATAGTTTTACATTTTTTAGCATAATATGCACAACTATGTTCAAAGAGAACTGACTTCTATGAATTCTAAAGCAGTTGAAATAATGCTAATTATTATTGAAGGTATATTCTTTCTTACTTTTAGGGATTAAACAATGTTATTGCTATCGACTTTGATTATAGAGAAGAATTTATCTATTGGATTGATTCTAGCAGACCAAATGGAAGTCGCATAAATAGAATGTGCCTAAACGGAAGTGACATCAAGGTAACTACACATTCAGAAATGGGATTACTGGACATGTCATTGGTATGATTGACTAGGATAGAAAACATTACTTTATGACAATAAAGTATCTATTAGCCTGGTTTTAATTTCATATTTGTGCTGTATGCATTAAGTAGTTAAATATGTGATATGAAACCTTCTATCTTCATGTTTTATTTCAACATTATTACTTACAATCAGATAAATTTTTGTAATTGTAACAAGTTAAATGGCAGATGAAATTATAGTACCACTAAAATTAACCTAGTTGGAATTATCGAACGTACATTCGTAAAATCATGAATGTTCTTAGTAGTTATCACACTATTGACACTGTTAAATACTTTAGATGTGAGCTGCTTGGTGCCACTTATTGTTAGCCTGTACTTTAAAATGAAAATATTTGTACTGTGCATATACAGTTAAGTGTTTTATAAAGAAGTTTTAGGCACTGGAGAGATGGTTCAGTTGTTAAGAACAATTTCTTCTCTTGCAGAGGATTGAGTTCAGTTCCCAGCACCCACAAGGTGGCTCACAAATGACTATAACTCCAGGTCCAGGGGATCCAATGCCTTCCACTGCCCTCTTTGAGTACCAGGAATGCAAATTGAACACATGCATACCTTCAGGCACTCACACAGACACATACAAATAATAAATAAATAAATAAATAAATCTTTTTAAAAAAGTTAAATAGATGAAGCTCATCAATAATTTTTACTTTTGGATTTTTTAGTGTTTTAATATATTTTATTACATTTATTTATTTGACGTGTGCATGGGTGGGAATTCACACATGCCATGGTGTGTGTTTGGAGGTCACGGGACAACTTGTAGGAGTTGTTTTTCTCCTTCTACCTTGTGAGTCCTGGAACTTGAACTCAGATTTTCACACTTGGAGGCAAGTGCCCATACTGGCTGATCCATCTTGCCAGCCTTTAATTTTAATTGTTGTAACCATTTATAATATCATATGAAGTTATAGTGTAAGCAACAAATGATTTTGAAAACATTGTTGAATTAAATTTTTATTTATTTACTTATTTTTATATTATGCGTATGAAAGTTTTACCAGCATGCAAGGATACCATGCGTGTACAATGACTGTGGAGACAAAAAGAGGGTGTTGTTTTCTCTGAAATTGGAGTTACTGATGACTGTGGGTGCTGGGAACTGAAGCCAGGTCTTCTGCAAGAGCAGCCAGTGCTCCTAATTACTCAGCCATCTCTCCAGTTCTCATTAGTGAAATCTTAATGTACATGTATTTAGTGGTCTGGATTCATCTGACTCAGGTGATCACATGCACAGTGGTATAAGACCATAAAAGCAGCCTGGCTCCAGCAGCACAGTGGCTAGTGGCATCCAGCAAGCAGGATTTTGTTCTTTTAGAAACTTTTGACAATTTTCATAAAAACTGTGAAAGTAATTTTATTCCAATTTGATTACATATTTTTTTCTGTACGAATTTTAAGAACAGTCACTTATATTTCAAAACATCTCAGTATTTTAAATTCCATATCTAATGCGTTGTTGCTCTCATTCCATTGTTCCTTTAAGTCATGCTGTACTGTAAGTTTACACAGTGCATCGTTCTTCCCCTGAGGCAACAAATTCTCTGATATTCTTTGAAATAGTCATTAATGTCAATTTCCAAAAATGGAATTTGGAAGAAAAAATAAGCAAATATGAGTTGCAGTCAGACCCTCATGCGGCATCAGAACCTCGTGTGGTGTTATTGCCCTTTCATTCACTCCTGCTTTGTCTTCACTGTGTTCACATTAGTGGTGTTAGGAAACAGATTGCTCTAAAATTTAAGTATTATTTTCTTTTCTCTTATAGTATAACTATTAGCTTCTATGCATCTCCAAGACTTAATTTATTTCCTTTACATAGTCCTAAAAGTATTGAGACTTCAAATGAGCCAAGAATTATAGATCGTTTAACATGGATCAATTGTATGCAGAAAACCTGTATCTTTACACACAAAACTAAATACATTTGAAATTGACATGAAATTGACATTTGAAACTAAATACATTGAAATTGACTTTGCTATGTTTAAAACACCTAGTTCATTAGTATACATTCTTATTTCTTTTTGTAGTATGCCTGACTTGGAATTCAGTATGTAGACCACACTGGTCTTGAACTCAGAGATATCCACATGCCTCTGCCTCTGCTGGGATCAGAGGTGTGTGCCACCACACCTGGCTTCCTATTGCAGTGTTTCAATAGGGGAAGAACATGTGGGAGACTGGGGTTATGTTACTAAAGTCATGCCAGCACTTCTTAAAATTAATATTAATTATTGTTTGTATGTGCATATGACAGAAGTTGTTCCTAAATTTTAAGAGGATGAATGCATCAACTCTAATGGAAATGGGACCATTGATTGTGCATCTATTCAACATCTGTTTATTTGGGCCACTTTATTTTCGTAAACCCATATGTAACTTCTAGAAGCCTGAATATGTATTAGGTAACTTCTTTTTAAAAAAGTAATGTGCTATGTTAAATTGCTCTCTTGTTTATCTAAATTTTTTTTCTGCAGTTTAAAATAGATTTCTGTATCTCAGTAAAAATCAAGAAATAATTGCTTAATTCCTACTGAAGGCATTTATACTGTTATCTTTCTAAACTTTTATGTTGTTAGGTAGTGCATAACACCGCTGTCCCCAATGCACTTGCTGTTGATTGGATTGGAAAAAATCTCTATTGGTCTGACACAGAGAAAAGGATAATTGAAGTATCCAAACTCAACGGCTTGTATCCTACTGTACTCGTTAGCAAAAGACTGAAGTTTCCCAGGGACCTGTCTTTAGATCCTCGAGCCGGGTTTGTAAAATGTTAAAAACTAAAAATTAGAAGTTTAGATTATATTCACTGTGTTAAATTCCTAGTTCCATAGGCCACTAACATGAAAATGTAAAGGAATATATGAATGTATAGATGTTCTTATTGCAAATCAAGAATAATAAATATGACCACGGCAATCAAAGAAATGTATTTAAAACATTTTAAAATAACTGCTTTTTAAATATAGTCATGACTTTTTCTAAGCAGTCAGTATATTTTTTTGTGGAAATGAATAAAACAGGCATCACTGATTTGAATGGTTTAAATCTTGGAATAAGAGAAAAAAACACTTGAAAAAGCTTTTAGTGTTATGGTGGCCATAGGTATGAATGAACAATGTAAGTCCTGCTCTTTAAAGCAGGAGACGTGATTGGTGTCCATAGATAATAAGTGACCAGGTGCATTGCATCATCAAATCCATGCAAGAGGAGAAGCAGAGGCATAATGGGACCGGCTCTTGTTGATTCATTCGGCCTGAGGGAAATTATTGCAAGAACAGTGAGTGGCTGGGCCATTCAGAGGAGCAGTGACCATGCAGTAAGGCATCAAAGCTCTCTGGTGTTTTACTAAAGTTCTGCAGATTATGACCATTTTCATTCACTTTCAATTATGTTGTTTTTGTAGGTTCAGAATGCATAACTTTCTGTTTTTGCACTATAATGTCTCTTGATTACATGCTCTAAAATGACTTTCGTAGAAGTTCAACCTACCTAGCATACTTGTTAAGATAATGAATTTTGAGACACTTGGTTGCACTAAATAGTTGCCATTCCCAGAAGCAGGAAGTAGGAATGCTGTAGAATTACAAGTATTCTCCTCTCTAAATTCACTTTCAAAATATGTTTTACCAAATAGCTACATTCATCATACTTTAAGCAACCTTTGGATTTTAGTTGTTGCTAATGTAGTGTATCTCCATGTTTATAACTGGAAAATTCTCATGTCATAATATACTTTATAGAATAATTTTAAGTATTAATTTGGCTAAAAGCTATACCAAATAGGAAAAAATGTGCACTTTGGGTGCATTTCTGTTTCCAAGGGCATGGGCACATTTTAGCTTTTCACTATATAACTCTGTAATCATTTTATTATATTTTAAAATATTTTCTTTTCCATAGCAACATAATGTTCAGAAGAATTTTAGCTGAAACTGCTGTAACTGAGCATCTCTATAAGTGTTTTAGGCCCTTTTGACCAGATGCATTAAATTCAGCCTCTAACATTTATTCTTGAGTATGTATGAGTGGATATTTTAAGTTGTTTTGCCATACAGTCTGAAACTTTAATTTTCATTTTACAATTCCTTATATTGTTTTCAAGCAAAATCAACTTGGTTTGGCTTCTTATTCCAAGTCACTGAATATGCTTCACTTCTAATGAAAGAAACATTGCCTGTTTAATAATGAATTTCCGGTTTATGAAACAAAAACTGATCCTAGTCCGTTAAATGCTGCTAAATCCAGCTCTGAATTTTGTTTCTCCTGGGTTACAGTTATCACCTCATAAACTGAAAGCAGCCTTAAGTTAGCATCAACATAAACCCATCCATTTAAAGTGTCAATTAAAATTACAAAGAACTGAATAATTGCAGATGCTATGAGTGACTCCTTTGACTTCATATTTGGATAAAATTTTGTTTGCAGTACTTGGGTGTAATTTTATAACTGAAGACATAGATAAAAATCAGATCTTTTTATGAAACAATTAAAGCCACCTATTTCAATTGCTACAATTTAACAGCATCATTTTGTTAGTACTGTTTTGCTGATTCCCCAGAGTAAGAAAATAAGAAAACCAGACCTTAGCATTTATGAGAAGTGTTTAGGCTAAAAATACCTTACCTTATATAGTGTTGTATGATCCTGATTTAAAGATGCCATCTTAAATTGTAAGGCTGTTTAGTAAAATACCCTTGAAACTTTCTTTGTCAGATTATTTCTGTGATTAACATATGAACTGTATATGTCTTTCCTACTAGCCCTGTGTTTTCTGGAGAGGTGTCATTTCTGTCCTGTTATTGGTAAAAGATAAAGTAAGGATTTGTTTCAGGATCACTGAGCTGTTTAATTTTATGAAACAACCAAACTTTTAGGAACTATTTGGGGGGGGGGGATTTCTAAATTTTACCTGTGATATGCCAATTTCTCAAATCCATTTGGATATAGTGGCTACTTACAGAAAAGAAGATTGAGTATCACCATTTTGATTGTTATATTTAAATTAAGTTATAATTTTAATTTGTCTCAAATTTCTAACCAATCTGTTATCTACTTTAATTTTTGAGATAATATGCAAAATAGTAATTATTTTCAGCAATTACAATAGTACATGTTAAATATTTTTAAACTATCATTTACGAAGGACATACATAAGAATTTTAACCAGAATGAAAAATAGAACTAATCTTCAAACTACACTGAGCATCATTTTATCTATGACTTTAACTATGATGCCAGTGAGGTTACTGTAAGAAAAGACTGATGTCATTTTTCATATGTCAGAATATGGTTCCCAATCCCCTAAGAATTCATATTAAAGTCAATGAATTATTGGCCTAGGAACAAAAATAAACCCATCTACTCATACATGAATTCTAATCCTTTTTGTTTAGAATTGAGTGAACATCTTTGGGACACAAATAAAATTGAAAGACAGTCTCCACAAATATTTCATTGTCCTAGGTAAACACATGAAAAACAACAATTACAATGTAGGACAGAAGAAATCATACAGTAGAGAAAAAATGTGTCTAATTGCATCAGAGAAACCCTAGTGTAAAGTAATGGTCAAGTAAGAAGTAGACAGGTCCTGTAGTCACTTGTGGGCAGGAAATATCTCTGTCCAAAAGAAGCTGCTCTTTGGGAATACAGACTCAAAGGAGCATCCAGGGAACTTCAAGGCATTCATCATGATTGGAATAAATTAAGCATATGTCTTTGAGGAACTAGTTCATGTTATAGAGCAAAAGAGCTGGGAATAACTCAAAGCAATGTGTCCCAATACAATAATGGCAAACAGAAAACCTTCCTGAATTTCTGGGTTGGGAAGTCAGCAAACGGAAGTGATTTTGCAGAATATGGGAAATACAGGAAGAGGAAGATAGAGGACAGGGAAGTGATTAGTTTCTAGACCTTCTATGACCTTCACTCATTTCCAAAGCACTTTATGAATTAGAAAACTTTGTCTCAGTTTTATTACTTTAGATATATTTGCTTGGTCTTGGAGACATATATGATTGTTCTTATTACATTCCTTGTAGTATATATAACATTCAACCTCAAACTAGTTAGGTAACCCCAGGATCATTTAGTTAGCACAATATTAAACTGGGACTTTAATTTGGTTTCCAGGCTATGTTCCCATGTTTTTTTCTGCCACATCACATTAGAGTTTTCCAGTAACAAATCAGTTGTGGGTAGTGAGTGTGTTTTCTGGGAAAAAAATAAGAAAGAATAAATAACCCCGAAGCACAAATCCCATATTTTTTTCTATCTTAATAGTTAATTCTTTTCTTTACTAAAAACAGTAGTATGGATGATGAGTTTTTAAAAAAATACATACCTGAAACATTACAAGCATGTCTTTATATTCTTATTATTTACACTACCATATTTAAACTCAGGGCCTCAAATATGCTACCGAGAGCTCTACCACTGATGTACAACTTAGCCCATGCTTTATGTCTAAAGACATATTTTTGTTGAGTTATATTCCTCATACTTTATTAACTACCCCCTGAAATAACAACAGGTTTCATTCAGAATTTGAAATAAATGATAATGAACACATATAAAGGACACAGAGTGTCTATATTCATTCTGCCAATGTGCATGGTAATAATGCAAATAATTTTGTGAAGATTTACTTTATATTTCTGTGTCAGCTTATGCCAGTCCTTTCCAGAATATCAGAAATATAGGAGGGGCTGACACATGGAAGAGGAATGGCCAGCTTTTGAAGATTCTCAGATCTCTTATTTACTGAGGTGGAATAAAATCCATTTTTCCAAGAGCATCAGAAATATCACTTCTTGTGTGAAATATTTCCTAAAGGTGCCTAAAGTGGAACCCACAAATTGAACACTTAACATTATACAAATACCTTAATTTTTGCCTTAACACAAAGATCATTGTATAATTATTGTGTCTGTCTTACACTGCTAAATTCACTGTTGAATGGACCACACCGCATAAACTGATATATAGTTGACGTGGAAATGACCTGCTTGTTTCAAAGAGAGGACTCATAAAAAGAGGGGATGCCTGCTCAGAGGTTATAACAACCATGGAGGATAAAAATTCACTTTCTGATTCTGTGGATGAAACAGAGAAATATTTCATTGAACTTGGCAGTTACTCTAAAATATCTATTCCACTAATTAAAAAAAATATTTTATTATTTTTATTTTATGTGTATGAGTGTATTGCCTGCATGTTTGTGAGTGCACCTGTGTCCTGCATTGCTGCAGAGGTCAGAAGAGGGCTTCAGATTCCCCTGGAACTGGAGTTAAGGTTGGTTTGTAGCCTCCATGTGGGTGCTGGGAATCAAACCCAGGTCCTCTGCAGGAGCAGTCAGTGCTCTTACCGCTGAGCCATCTCTCCAGCCCCATAATGTAGTTTTTTTGTTTTGTTTTGTTTTATTTTGTTGTGTATTTTTGTCTTTTTGAGACAGGGTCTCCCTGTAGTTCTAGCTGGCCTAGAACTCACTATGAAGATCAGGCTGGCCTTGAACTCTCAGCGATCCGACTGCCTCTACCTCCCAAGTGCTGGGACTACAGGCATGTGCCACCATGACCAGTCTTATTCCACTAATTTTAAAATCTATAAAACAGTTGATCTCAATATTTCTGCTGCTGGGCATAATTCACAGGAAATAAGCATAAATGTTTGTTTTTACAATTCAGATTTAGAAGTAACTGCAGGAGGAAGAAGCTTCTATAACTTTGTTACTGGAATACTGGGCAAAACCATAGACTTCTATTTAATTAATCTCAAACAAATCCAATGTATTATATTCAACTGTTGAAGACTTCCTCAAGAACACAGAGACCTGTTGTTATGGCTGCAAAGCAGACATCTTTTATATGTTTATACTTGGTATAATTTACACAATAGTTACTATGTTAGACTGAGAATTTTCTTAGGTGATCATGTATAAACAGTATTACCTGGTACAATCTAAAACTGTAGACATTTTCATTGAAGTATTGATTTTAATATTTATTACCAACAAATTTTGCACACAGGTACTTCCTTAGGAATTGTATTCCTTAGGGTAAAATATCCATTTTGTTTAGTGAAATCTTAATGACAAATTTAAAAAATAAATGTTTATCAAACAGGGCTGTGTTTCAAAAGGAAAAGATAGTCTGCCTTCCAAAGTTAGCTACCTCTTATTAAAAGACAGGTTATCCTCCGTTACGAACATTCAGTGAAATGATAGTTTCTTTCAATACAATAAGTGTTTTCATAATGATCTGATTCATATTTAATTTGGTAAACCAGGTAATAATATACATAAAATCCAGGAAAATTACATAATAGTACAGGGTTGGATAATCCAGATGTAACTGGTAAACTACTGGGTAGGTCTTATTAAAGCAAAAATATATTAATTCGCACATGTCATACCTAAATTGCTAATACTTGCTGAATACACTATTATATTTATCAACATGCTAAATTCTTTTAGATATTATGTCATTCAATCCTTATAAGAACTCTATAAATGAAGTTATCATTGACTTGCTTTAAATTTGAGAAAATACAGGCTCAGGGAGACTAAATCTCCAAGGTTCACATAATATTGAGAAGTCTTGGGGTTTGAATACATATAACATGTTTCTAGGGTTTGCTTGCCTAAGACTCTAATCATTGAGAAGATGCTAGTCTGTAAGTCTACGAGAGTCCTGAAATATATACATACATATATATATAATATATATATATATATATATATATAGAGAGAGAGAGAGAGAGAGAGAGAGAGAGAGTGTTGTTGTTGTTGTATAACTTCTGGTCTCTCTTTAGCAGTCAGATGACCAGTGAAAGCCTAAACTATAAGTTCTATGTCTGTTGCAGAATCAAAATCTTCAGTTAAGTTATTCTATATTCTGAAATCTGAAGACGTAACAGTACATTATTCTTGAATAATTTGGAAGCTAATTTTAAAGATAAGTTTCTTTCAGGTTCAAGAAAATGTTAGTGAGCACAGGTGTCTTTGATGAATTTCTCCAATTACCATGCACTGTTTTGTATCCCAATGGTAATGCAGTTTTATCTTAATATGCTTTAGATTTCTGATATTTTTACATCTACCTCTACTGAATTCACTTGAGAGATTATTGAAGGCAAACATTTTCTCTTTTACCTCTTTGTCCCTCCTTAGACACATCTACTACAAAGTGTAACCACCAAGGAATTGTCATTTGAGTATAATGTAGTTTCCAAGTGGTTAGATACGGCTTTAGGATTTATCAAAAATATCCCACCATTGACTTACTCCAAAGCGTTCTCTGATTATAAGGCAAGACATTCTATACCATCACATGTTGTTCAGGTGCACTTGTAATGAAGAAAAACAATTTTATTGACTCCTGGTGCACCAATCCTGGGAACTGCTTTAAGGAACCAGATACTGTTGCCTGGAGCCGTCTGGTGAATGCAGAGATACTGCATGTCCACTTAGAGCCTTGAAGTGCTGTGGAGTGCAGTAAGGTTCTGAAAGGTCCTGCAATAAAAAGAGGGTGTTTTACAAAGTGTTTCTCAAGTGTATTTGATCTTCTAACCTACCCTGAAAATATGAACTAACACTAATTAAGAAATAATTTGTGGAGAGCAGAGGGAGCAATGTGAATTACATGTTCATAAACAATATCTTTATAATTAACAAGCACAAGCAAGACAAAGGTGGAAGAAAGCCAGAAGTGGAAATGTGGAACAGTAAATGGAGCCTGGCGAGGGCAGTAGTTCCCACATTTCAGTAGTGGGGAACAACTGGAAGAAAAATACTTGGAGCCTCAAAATAAAGACTTGAATTTTCAGGGATTTCAGACTTTGGACACTTAAGACTTTTTGATAGAAAAATAGATTGATTTTTATGATTTAAGCCTCATCTTTGTGACATCGTAGTGTATGAGTACAACAATTTCATATGATGAAAAGTCACAATACAAATGGAAATTTAGAATTTATTTGGAATTTAGATCATTGGTAATTTATTTAGTTACCTCAAAAATATTACTGGCCCATCCAACATTTTCTAGTATTTTTGTGGATTTGCATTTAATAGCAAAAACTTTTTGCTTTTGAGATATTTCACCTGTAAGTATAAACCTATGTAGTGTGTGTAATTAAATAGAAAAATTAAGACTGTCTCTAATTAAAGCAATCTGGATTTTAAATAATACAGAAACAACTGAAAAATTTTAATATATTAATTGACTTATATAGTTTTATCAAAATGATGTATAAAGCACATGCAAATTTTATCATATGAATATGTGTGAAAGAAACTAGTAGAAACATATCCCATTTGGTAAGAAGACGTCAGCATCAAAATTCCAAAGAGTCATGGTCACTAAGACAAGGAAGGTTTTGTTGTTGCTGTTCATTTCAGCAAGATGAACTGCTTCTCATGACTTCTTTTTGGCTTCGTTTCTTACCTTGTATCCTTTCCCACTGTGTGTAGTGTGGAGAGCAAGGTGCTTCTCTCTTAGTTTATGAGAAGGAAATGGAGACTTTTTTCTAGATGATGTAGTTCGTTGATATATGTTTATATTTCAAAGGAAAAAAAGACTAAAACAATCCAAGAGTCCAATAAAAATAACATTGCTTTTTAAGGTGTTTGGCATGTATCATTAATGATTATATGAAAATTTCCAAATGAGTTAAAAATGGATACTGACGTATGAAAGAAATCACAGCAATTCCAGGGTTGCCCCATGAGAAGGCAGATATTTCTAGATTCAAGTTTAAAATTTCATTCTCAAGAGCTCTCTTTAAACCTGTACTTAGAAAATTCATGTTTAAAAAAAATTTTTTTTGAGACAGGTCTCAAGACCTTGACCTTATGATCCTCTTGCCTCCACATTCTGAGTGTTGGGATAACACCTGCTTTATGTGGTGCTGGGGATGGAACCCAGGGACTCTTTCATGCTATGAAGGCATTCTACCAACTGAGCTCGTTCCTAGCCCCAAATTCTTTCTTTTGTTTAGTCCTTATTGGAGATGTATTTCTTGTTAGTAATCACCATGCTTAATTAGAATTTCACTAATATTTTAAGATCAAAGATCAAATTAGGTACATAAGCTTTTATGCGTACCCAAATAATACTAAGCATAACAATGCTTGTCCTATTTACAGTGATCATTTATTCTAGTCCTGTGCTTGGTATATTTCTCCTGAAAATGTTGCTATTGTTTGAACAAAATATCAGAAAATAATCTTTATCAAAATTTATGATGATAAAACATTTTAAAACCTTTTTAAATTTCAACTAAATAGCACATTTTTACTCACATAGAATAATTGTTTACAATATTACATGTAATATTATAATATTATATGTGCATTGTTATACACCTTCCACATTTGAACAATTAAATGCCAAGGGTTATACATAGCAGGAAAGAATAAAGTCTTGAAAAACAATACATCTTCAAAGATGTATAGCCTTCAGGGCAGCTGGGGCTACAGGGTAACCCTGTCTCAAAAAACAAATAAAAATAGCTTAAATAGAGTGAAATTTTTCAGTGATGTGGTTCTTATTTGTTTTTGTATTTTATATGATGCAATAAAATATTTCACTCAGCTTAATTAGTATTAATTCAATAGTATCGATATCAATTCCATCTTCCTGCCCTGCCACGCTGTCTGAAATGCCCTGTTCCAGAAATTCTCATGCTGTGATTTAAATCTGCCTTGTGGTAGAACGTGCTGTGTGAAAGAAGCCCTTCATCTAGTCTGTTAGATATGATGTCTACCAGACGTACATGGCTCCTGGACACTTGAAATATGGTAGTATAAAATGTATCTGATTTTTGTCAATTTAAATGTAAATAGTCATAATGGGATAGTAGCTACCACATAGACAATGTACATTCAAACAAATGAAATGATATCTATATTATAACCTTGGAATTTCTCATGGATAAAGAACAAATAATAATATTAAATAGATAATAAATACAGATGATGAATGATATAAGATAAATATCTATGGAATTTACATCTGTTAATTGTGTGAATCTGTGATTTATTTACACATGGAACATCTCATTATTAAATATGTGTTTTTATTCGGTAATGAGAACATATGTTTAAAATTAAATGAATATTTCAATCCATACTATAGGTTTAATTTGAAAAAAAAAAATGAGAAAAGTTTACACCGAAGGCTGCCAAGTGACAGTTACAGTCAAGTGATACACAAGGATTAATTTGAGAATAGTTGAACAAGAAAGTAAAATATTGTGTGACGTTTTACTCCAGGAAGCCCTGTCAACAAATAGCTATTGATTTTCTTTCCTAGGTATTTGTATTGGATTGACTGCTGTGAGTACCCTCATATTGGCCGTGTTGGAATGGATGGATCCAATCAAAGTGTTGTCATAGAAACAAAGGTTTCTAGACCTCTGGCACTAACAATAGATTATGTGAATCATAGACTCTACTGGGCTGATGAAAATCACATTGAATTTAGCAACATGGATGGATCTCGTAGACAGAAAGGTTGGTCCAGCAGTATAAATGAGTCAATATTTGACAAGTACAAAAAATTTACTAATTTAAATATATATATATATTCATTTTGTATGCTTTGTGTCATAAAATGCATTCTTAATTTAAGATTAGACATTATATTCCTTTATGAAAATTTATTTAAAAAATCATATAGTTTATATATATATATAAATTTTGATACTGTTGCTTTAATTGTATTTTCCTTAATAAATAAATTGGATAATAATCTTATAAATTAATATATACCTGTGTCCTCACTGAATTGGAATAGAAAGATAATTCCTTGGAAACGTAATTTTTTTTCTATTGCAGTCAGGTAGACTTTGAATTTTCTTTGAGAGTGAGTAGAGTATTAGCATTTTTTAATAGAAGTGAAGTGGTACTTAAAGGTTATAAATTTTGCACATGATTAAGTTTACTATTATCTACTTAGCAAGAGCAACAACATGAATGCTTCAAATCATAATAACATTAGAGAAATAGTATAAATATGAACACATGTAAAAATCTGCAGATTTTTTTCACTTTTTATAACTCTGTAGATTTTTAAATATCTATCAGATATGTAAAGGAATTTTTTATAAGGAAATACTGAATAAGGAGGAGGCATATTAAATAAAAATAAAGCTGAAAAAATTAAAAGAGGTAAGGATCTAATAGGAAAGTTTTAGTAAAGTCCAGACAAATATGATGGACATACGCTATGAAGGACTGAAGTGAACTGTTTTTTTCCACTGAATGAAATTTTTTAAAAAATCTCAATTTTTCACTGATCCCCAGGCATTTAACATGTTTTGTTATGAGGTATTTTGAATTCCAAATATCTCTTCAAATACTAATTTCACAGATGACCCAAATAACATCTGCTGATTGGTGTGGTCTAACATAGACTGCTTTCTCCTCTGGCCATTGTACTTAACTCAGAACTGCTGGAGAAAGGGCAAAGAGGAGTAGAAAGGAAGAGAAAAACATCTGTTAAACACCAGGCGAGACCCTGAAAAGTGTGCATGTGTGGGGCCCTCCAGAGTCTGAAGCCACTGAGATTCTAAAGAAAAGACCTAGAAAAGTCCTGAAGCCCTAGCACTTGATATTTTTCCCTGAGGTCTGTTGTTTCACCTTTGAACAATTGCAACCTTCTTTTATATGCTAAATTTTATTTCTTCAAAGAATGTGGTAAAAATATACTGTATGAAATTACAACCTTTGAGCAAGCAATGCTGACAGGAGGTTTCAGAGTTGCTTCTGTAATGGAGCACTGATGTTAACTGCTCATTTGGATACTCATAGGTGTTTACATTCCAATTATGAACAAGAAAAAGCCCACTATTGTTGCAATTCAAATGAAGAATTATATAAACATTATTTTAAAACTTTGATTACAATGTTAACAAATCACAATCACACTTGGCATTTAAAAGTTATTCCTGCTTGGACATGATGGCACATGCCTTTAATGCCAGCATGAGAGAGGCAGAGGCAGGTCTCTGTGAGATCAAAGCCAGACCCGTCTACATAGCAAATTACAGGAGAGCTGGGGCTACTGGGAGACTGTGTATCAATCCCCTGCCACACACACACACCAAAGTTATCTTTCCCTAAAGAATCTATAATGACTCGCTCCTTACCATCCCAGGATGATAGAATTCAGAGTTCTGCTATGTTATCCTTAGCATACAATTTCACATCCACAAAAGTGTGCTAGATTGCTTTAACTATTTTAGTCTGAGTTACAATTTATTGGTTAGCAAATGTATGCAAACTTTGATTCTCTGGGTAAATTTTGAAAAGATATCAGAATATAAAGTGTTTCCTTATTTTTAATATGAAATTTTGATATTTAAAATGAATATGTAAAATATGTCTATTGGAAACTATTGTCTCTGTCCTCTGGAAATTACTTAAAAAACTGATAGAATTTAAAATCAAATGCACATGAACCAAAGTATCCCGGACTCATGGTAGTGGTAGTGACTCTGTAGATACATACAGCCAGAAGACATGACACTAAAATAACTTAAAAATAAGATATTGGCTGAAAGATTCATTTATCATGCCGTTACTAAATTTAGAAACAAGTAAAAGTCATTTTGAACTTAAGTGGAAAGAGAAGATAAGTGAAAGATTTGCTGTCTTCAGAAGTATTTTCTCCTTAAGGATTTCACAGAAAGACTAATGAAAAATCTGTTACATGTGCCTTAACTGTCAATGACCAAATGCAGGCCAATAACTGCCTGGTAGTTTCTAATGAGGTGCTAATTGAGGCAGGTCTGAGTTACACCAACTCCAGAGCCAATGGAAGCAAGGGGTGCTCACCTCCATCCATGTGAAGAGGAATTAGGTTATTCTACTGTTTGCATTTGCATCATGAGGACATGGGAAATGCTGTATTTTAGGTGCAAAATGATATTTTAATATCAATTTATGTAACTGTGGTCACTACCCCCTTTATACTCCTACCAGACAACCGGTATTGGTCTTATCTATTTATGTCGTTAAAATTGAGTCCCAAGCTCAGTTGGCTAGGGCACACCAGTCATAAAAAGTTAGTGTGAGACACCAGGAGAAAAGAGAAATTTCAGACGCTCTTTTCATTAGTCAAATTTTAATAATGAGAAAAATTAATCCCTGAATAAAACTCAATGTTTAATTTTTATCTAAGAATATTCTGTTTTAACCATACAATAATTCTGTAAATGAAGAATTCCTTATTTCTTTTTTGGTTATTGATTTTTGAAACATAATCTCATGCATCCCAGGCTGACTTCAGGCTTGCTATATATGGAGGATGACCTTGAACTTCTGTTCTCCCTGCCTCACCTCCAGAGTATAGGCCACTGTACTGGGTTTATGTGGTGCTGAGGCTTAAATCTAGTGCTTCATGCTTGCTGAGCAAGCACTCTACCAAGTGAGGTCCATTACCATCCAAGTGTTTGAATTATTATTTTTTTTTCCTGCTTATGAATCTCTGAAGTTTTTAATTTCTGTGCTTTAAACACAATACCAGAATACATCCATGGTGCACATGGGCTGCAGTTTGCATTTGAGTTTCTCTGCTTCTTTCTCTGCTGCATCCTTTAGTTCACCTTCCTGCCAAATCCTGATACAACGGTTCAGAAAAGTTCAATTGGTCAATATTAGTCAATTAAACAACATTGATCAATATGTTTGTCTAGGAGCATGAAAAAGTAATCTTAATCTTATCATGTGAACTTCTCACTAACCCATCCCTCCACACAATATGTGTGTAATGATACTGATTTTTATACAATAACCTAGGGTATAGCATGAACAATGTAGTATGACAAAATATACATGTTCTTGAATTATTGCATCAGATAGTTTATTTTAAATTGCATCTTCATTGATTCTTTTAATTTTTTCTGACTCCTTCCAAATCATTCATTTTCACATTCCACATTGACTGGCATGTCTTTCTGTGCAATGAGTTATACTAGACTTTTGAGTAAAGAAAATAAGTCTGTCTTCAAAACAAAGTTCAATGGGAAAAATGGGTGAGCATGTAAAGACTTGAATTAGCTGGAACTAGAAGTCTATGGAAACATTATGGAAATGGAAACAAGTGTAGGGACACCTTTGCTGCAGTGTTGAGAGTCCCTGCAGTCTGAGGGGCTCTGTGAGCATCTCCATGTGGGGAAGTGCAGGACAGTCTTTACACAGAGGGAACGGCATGTGCCAAGCTGTAATAGAGTCTTGGAACAGTGTGAGGGTTATACAATTTGACTATGACTGGAAGGGACAGAAAAGGAAAATAATGACACGAGTGAACACGAGCAAATTGGGGCCAGATTTTGACAAGCCTTATATGTTTTGTAATTTGGTATTTATCCTCTAGGTCATAGGGAGCCATTGATGGTGTTTAGTTGATAGAAGGCTGTTATTAGATGTGACAACAGCATGGAAAATGAAAGACCCTTGAAGGGCAACCAATTTAAAGACTGTTAAAATATTTTAAGAGAAAATGCTTGAAGTGATTGCAGCTGTGGGAATAGGGATGCTGTGTTAGATTCCACACTAATCCAACAGCTAAAACAGATGAAATTAGTAAATGTAACAGGAGGAAGACTGGGGTTATAAATATTAAGTGAATGATTTATATAATTATGTAGTTAGTAAGGGGATGGAACTCCCACTTTTATAGCTGTTAGATATCTGTATATTTATGTACTTTTGTAAAAAGTAAATATACCAAAGTGAGTCTAACGTTGAATCTTGAGATTCAGTGTTTTGATGAGAGATACACTAGTTTTAATAGCAGGGTTATCACAGGGAAAATTCTAAAGATGTGGCTAGGCATATTCTAGTGTATCCTGTGCTTAAAACACCCCAGAATACTTGCCAGGCCCCCTAAGAGAATAAATATGGAATAAAGGTCAATCCATCCCCACTGTTCTGTGAGACATGAAACAGGTCTAATGAGAGACTCAGTAACTGGGGATGTTCTCCAGATAGAAATGTTCACAAATATGGAGAACAGGAAAAGGTAATGGGGTGGATAAGATAAAAATGCATCCTATGTATGTATGGAAACACCAGAATAAAATCCATAGTTAGATATAATTGACTCATTCATACACACACACACACAC